GGCATCCAGTAGAATGAGCATCAAGAGTCCTAATGGAAGTGGAGCTGCTATCTAGACCACCACATTTTCTTAAAAACAGATTAATGTGGACAGCCTTGGCAATGGAGTTTTTCCTTAAAATTTCCAACCTCAGGAATTTCCAAATTCGAGGATTTAACATTCAATTCAACGCATTTTGTTTGCCCCTGGACTCTACACTTCCTGGAGGTGGGGGCAATTCCACTCTTTTGACTCAGAACTGGCAACTCACATGTTGTTTGCATTCACCCTACCTAGCACTGTGCTCCATTATACGCACAGCCTGGCACAGTGCCCGGATCTCAAAGAAGGGCTTCACCAGGAGGCAAAGCTTTCTGGGTATGTGGGGCCAGGGAATCTATCTAATGCCAAGAAAGAAAAATGGGGGTGGGGGGTGGGGACTGGCCCAGGAAACATAGGATAGTTACCCAAAGAAAATGAAGCATCGTGCTATGAAAGACTCAGAAGACTATTAAAGATCACTCAGGCCCTGGGCTTATCCTCAGAAGTGTGAAGTTCCTGTGCATAGAGAATGAACATCATCTGCCTGAACTCCAATTCAGTTAAAGGGTTTACAGTAAAGAGATTGATGGCTCAGAGTCTGGACCCAAGATGGGTTAAACTGAAGGAACCAATAGTTCAGTTTTGGCCACTCAGTAGGAAGCATAAGATCCTTGCTTCTCAATCAATTTTACACCTAACCTACTATCTAGAGTAGCATTGCTGAACCTTCAAACCAAAAATATATTATTGAGATGCAATGGCTGGGTATTGTTGGGAAACCTCAGGATGGATTCTACTTCCCTGCACCACACACATTAGGTCTGGTGAGTTAGGCAGCTGGACAGGGGCATAGCAATCAAGCCGGATGCTGGAGACAAGTTTATTTCATCTGCTCAAAGAGGAAGCATGTTCATTCTATAACTCTTTTGCCTCTGTAGTGGTTCCAGGGCTTTAATGTCATACCTTTTAATGTCAGACCTTTTTATTTAAACAATATTTTAATAACTGTTAATATTATTTATTGGTTTTAATTCTACAGCCAGGGTGAATCTGGATTTTATATGTATTATTTATATGCTTTATTTATTTATTGTATTGGAAGCCGTCCCAAGGCTCATGCGACTGGGACGGCATACAAAAACTCCAAATAAATACATACATACATACCTGGCTGCTTTCAATCCAGGCCTGTCTGAACAAAATAGTTTCTTGATCCATGGTAGCTGGTAATACACAGTCCATAACCAGAAGGCCAGCATATCTGGAGTTCCTCTGAAACAAACCATTGTATTCATGTAGCCTGCTATTAGGATGCATTTTTCCCATACACAATCTTTTCTTAGACTATGAATCAGTCTAAGAAGTCAGTCTCACTAAATTGGAGTCAGCCCCATAAAATTGGACCTTTGCCTTGATAAATCCCTTTTCAGTCTAGTTCATTAATTCCTGCCTACATGAGGAGGACTGAAAATATGGAAGCCCTGTACTGTTGTTGTTTTACAACTGGTTACCATGCTTTCACCATGATTGGTCCGTATTGATGGAGACAGACTAAACTAACTCCTTGCACTAAGGTTGCTATCGTACAAAAATGTGGAAAAATGGCCAGAAGGACTTGCAAATTAGGCTAATGGCATGTTTGCCAGCTGTAGCTATTTTATCAAGAGAGCAGGCATGGAGTCTGAGCCTACAGTTATGATACACGTAGATGAAGCATTCTCCCATTTACTTTTGGCGACCAGATATATACCCTTCCAGTAAATGGCTTGTATAAACTTGGCAGCAACACAAGAGCCCCGGGAATTTTACATTTTGTGTTACTTCCAGATGGGCTAATAGAACCTTGCCATTGCCTTCCACTGTAAACCATTCAGACCCCCTTTGGAGCACTCCAGGACTCAGTTCCTAGCCTTATCAAGCAGCATAGCAGGAGATGGACTCTTCTCTGCCAGGCCTCAACAAAACAATTCAGTGCTTATTAAATTATCCCAAAGCAGAAAAGGCTGTCTGACTTGCAGGTGATTGGAAGATGGGTCTCGAAAGGTTCCCACAGCCATTTTAATGGATGGCGGAGGACCAGTAATCCACACTAATTGGATCATGGCTCAGTCCCCTAGCTCGAATTAGCTGTCCTGGCAGGAAAAAGCTTTAGGCTGCTTTAACAATAATGGAGCTAGATAGAAAATTTACCTTCATATCAATTGCCACCTACCCGTTAAGTTGACAAAAAGTGATGAGCTACAGGGGACAAGAAGACTAATGAAAGAAATAGCAAAATGCACATAAAAACTGAACTTTTCTGTGAGAATGAAGCAAGATCTGTGCCATCCTCCATACATTAAAGAAGTGACTGAATCCTTGGAGTGACCCTCCAACAGTAGACAGCCCTCCATGTGGGATCAAACCACAGAACAGAAAACGCTGCATGAATGAACTAGGGAGGGCAGTGGCAAATGGGTAGGCTCAACACGGCAATGCCAAAGCATGGAGGGGTCAAAATTCTGCTTTTTAACAGCAAAGGAGCGTGCAGGTGAGGGCAGCTAACACATTCCCAGAGGCAAATTACCCACCACCCCACCAGCTGAGGTCACTCCTGATGCCAGAACCAAGATGAAGCAGCAGGGAGGAGAAGACTCAGAGGGAGAAAAGCCACAAGAAGCAAGCCACAGAAGACTTCTGTAGTCTTCACCCTGTCCTTCGTCATTAAAATCTCTCCCTTATACACACCCCTCTTCCTCCATAAACACACTTTAAATACCTGTTTTTAAAGTGAACTGCCATCATCACACATGGCCTTGACTATAATGCAGGATGGCAATTTTTAAATATTTATTTACATTTTATATTTTAAACACGATTCTTACATTTCCTTGCCAACAGCAAAAAGGTCGCCCTGCAAAATCCTATGCTGAAGTAGTAGTGTTCCGGCTTGGGTTAAAGCAATTCACTAAATGGTTTGGGCTCTTTTCTAGTCTGGGAGGGGAAAAGAAGCCTGATGGTTCCCTGAGTAGTGCTTTCAGAAATAGCAGCAGTACTAGTTAAGTCATTAAGCACACAAAATGGTATCATTAGAAAAGATAAAATGGATGTAATTGTTCTACAGAGATGATAAATGTATTTGCCCAAGGAGAAATTAGCAGGTCCTTAAACCTTGCTAGGAGGAGGAGAAAAAGGAGCAGCTATTGAAGGTTATAATTAAGGTGGAGCAGGAAAAAGCATCCATCTATCATTTTAATAGGTTACCAAGAGACAGATATTCTTCCATCATCTGCAAGCTTCCAAATGAGACTAGACACCTTTTGTTTTGACAAATGTCACACACATTAATGGAATTAAGGTAATACTGACAATATGAATATCCAGTGTCGACTACGAAAATCTCCGGAAGGGTCTCCGTGTTGCAGGATGAGACAAAAGAACGGCAAGGTGAGACTTGGTGAAAGGAATGAAGTACAAGGAAAGTGAAATTAACAGTATGAGATGTTAGAAGTCATTGCATCATATACCAGCATGGCAACAAGCTCACCAGGAGCTACTTTTACTCACTTTCAGACTCCCCAACAGAGAAGGGGTCAATTTCCCTTTCTCCCTGCAGCCCAACCCTTCCATATCTGCTCCAGAAGACTGAGAGATCTTTTAGAGCATTTGGGAGGAAGTATGGCAGAGGCAAGGAGGAGCAGAGGGGGGAAAGTCCCATTGCCTGAACATTCACTCGTTATGTCAAAATCTGTACCCATTTAGTATTAGGGCACAGTTCTGGCCACCCTGTTTCAGAAAGGATTAGTAGTGCAGTACAAAGGATGAATAAAATGATCAAAAGCATGTATCAAATTCTTTCCAAAGCCTGGCTGAATCAATTACAGATTTCCTGTGGGGAAGGAATAAAATCAGCTGAGGTGGGGCAAGATTACATGGTAAGGGAAAATGAATGGACTAAGCTACTCACCCTAAAAATATCAGGGGTCATAGCTCCCTATTGGAAGGTCTAAACAGCTGTTTTGAAGACAAATGGACCCAACAGAATGTATAATTAGCACATGGAACTTACTGCTAGTGAATTCCGTAATGGCCAATAGCATTTAAAAAAAACAAACAGCCAAAAAAGCAAATTCTGAGAGTCATGACAACACAGGAGGCAGATTAGCATGGTGTTTTCATGATCATGCACGGCTTACAAGTTTCCTCAGTGGGGCTTCTTGTGTCTGGGGATCAGAATGCCAAGGGAGATGGACCATCCTTTCAGACCAGCATGTCAATTATGCTCTTAACAAAGGGGCTGTTAAGTTCCATGCGCTATGCCGTGAAGTTCAACTCCATTAGACTTGTCTCTCTAGATCTATCATGTATCCCCAAAGAGCCATTTCAGAGCAGCCCTGCCAAGAGAAGGGCCATCAGCACTCCATTCCCTCTGTAGGCCCACAGCCACAGGGATGCCTGCTTCCAGGAAGGTAGAGATGGTGCTAGCAGAGAGAAAAAGGAATTGTCTGCTAGCTTCTTTCCTATTTGAGGAATACTGCCCCACACTGAAGAGGCACAGCACAGGAGTTCTTGGCATGGCTCAGGGGGCCAGTGAGAGTTATGGGAAAGGCCAGGAGGCCAATGTTGCCCCAAGTGTTAATGCTGGTGATGCTCAAAGACATCACCAGCACTGATGGAGCCTCCTGCACTGCCAGACCTCATCACTATTGACTGTTCGCCTGCATTAGCCAAGTCCCAGCAGCACACAATGGTCCTTGAAACACAATTAGTGCAGCTGCTAATGGAAGGCTGCAGAGTTAACCCCCTTGGTCCATGACAGGAGATGCAGCTCCCACCCCAAGCCCTACAGGAAAATCATTGACGCAGGCCAGGGGAGGGAAAGGGCAGGTCTTTCCCTGTGGCTGCAGAAGGCTTGCTTGGCCCTCTTCTTCATGTGTCTCCCTTCTGAAAGAAGCTTGTTCATCCAGCCCTTGCTTTGCATTACACAAGAACAAATCACATCCAAATGCACAATTTTTATTAAATCAGCCACGTAATGACAGAAATACAAAGAGAGCCTTAAAAAAGAAAGAAAAAAAGGAAGGAAGAAAAACAGAAGGAAGAAAACCCAATGCGTTCTGACTAGGGTAGCTGCATAGTTTCCCACCTTCCAGCTGCATGTTCCTTATCACCCGGGCTGCCATCTAACAGGATACAGTTATAGTGGATCTGTCAGCACAGAGGCAGAACAACTGGATGACTGACTTTCCCCATCCTCTCTCTCAATGCCATCCGTTCTCTCCAGATGTAATAGCTGATCCTAGTTACAACCTGCAATACTGGGAACGGGGAAAGGCTGGGGAGGCCAAAAGGTACTCCTGTACAGTGCCAGCTCTCCGGCCTATTTGCCAGGATGAAACAGTGTCCAGTCCGTCTTGGCTCAGCAATCTAACCACCTGTACAAGGCATATGGGAACCAGGGTGGCTCTGTGAGTGTTTCTTGCTAATCAGAGCCCGATGCAGAATCCGCTGAGCTGGGTGGGGTGCTAGCAATCTCTTCCTCCTCAGAGTCCTGGAAGAGAAAGCAACACAGAGATGGATATTCAAGATTAACTGCATGTCTCAAAGGGTCTATGCTAAGAGCATCAACACCGGAAAGGAGAACCAGCTACCACTGGGACTAGATCAATTAAGCCTCAGCTAAGCCGCCAACTGCAGTAAAAGGAACAAGCCGGATGTGTAAGCTGTATGAAGAATGGGAGACCAGAGACTACTGCAATGTGCTTATGTAGCTCAAAATGTTTGGCTATGCTAGAAACAGCCCTGAATATAATATGAAGTGGGCATGGCTCAGCAAATGGCAATGAAGGACAAGCAAGGAAAGGCAAATCCTTCAAAGAAATCAAAGAAGAATGGAAATGCTAATATGGTGTATGATTAAAGCCAGGATTGTCCTTCAACTTGTGTAAATGCATGTATACTGCATAAGAAATGGGTTTGGGAGAGTCGCAGCTTTCATTTCTAAAATATTCAGGTTTTAGACTTCGCAAACCACAGCAAAGCAAATGCAAGGGTATTGATGAATCTTCAAAAGCCTCTAAAACCCAAGGGAGTTTAAACAGGCCCATCCAGTTGTCGGAGGTGAGACTTCTAAGTCTGGAAGGGCTTCTTCCTCCCACGACCCTGTAGCCAGCTTTCCTGGAACAGTATCTGTCCTAATGCACTTGTCTACACATATCGCTCTACACTGCCACACCTCTTGCAAAGTGTTTGCAATTCTGTGACATCCAAAACACTACAAATATGACAGTGTCTCAAGTATGTGTACCAATAAAGCAAACAAATGACAAAACACCACATGCAGAATTATCTGCTGCAACTGTTAGTGGTTTCAGAAGAACTGGAGAGAGAGAAAGCACTCTCTCTGCTCTCTGAACTCTAAGAGAACTCTGCAGCAAGAGCTGCTTAGAAGATTTGTAACTCAGTGGAACATGTACTTGTTCCCCTCCTCCTCCTCTTCCCAGTTCACTGCAGGGACAATTCACTGTCACCACACAGCACTCACCTCCTTCTTGTCCTCGCCTGAGGAGCTTTCGTCACTGGATACAAACTCCTTGCTCTTGAAACTCTCGCCTAACTGCTTAGAAGGGCTCTTGCTGACAGAGGATTTTGAAGGGGTCACAACCTTCTTCTCCGGTCTACCTTTTCCTGGCTTCTCTGGCTTTTTTTTCTTCTTGGGTTTCTCCCTGCATGTGCAAGCAAGCAGACAATATTCTACAATGACAGAGTCCCTTTGGGGTAGGCAGAAGCACTGAGGAGAGAAAGGGAAGGGAGCTTGGCCTTTTGAGAAAATTCTGCAACTCACTTTTTGGAGCTGTCTGACTTGCCACCCTCACTGTACTCCTTCATGGCCTTTTCATAATCTTTCTTGGCCTCTTCAGCTTTGCGGTCCCATTCCTGCAACCAAATGTAGTCAGTTCTGCTCATTCATATAAACTACATAATCCATGAAAGGTCAATTCCCGTGCCATTCCTGCGAACACCAATGGCAGAACCAAGCATACAGATGCTATGAACCCTCCATGGGGACAAGAGTATCCTAAGATGTTGAGGCTTCTAAGACATTGTTCACCTCCTGCCCCATCTGCTCAAAAGTCAAGATTTTAACATGGATGAAACTAAAGTGCAAGGGCTAGACTGGATTTTGCAGCCCTGCAGGGATACATAATCATCAGATTAGGGTTACCCTGTCCTGAAAAGCTGTCAGTCTTTTATTCAGAGCCTTTAACCTTCTGTAAATGCTTTAGTAGCCTCTGCTAAATCAGGCCCAGCAACCCATTTTCTGCAGTGGCCAGCCAGGGAGGAATGCAGGAAGCAATTTTCGATGGCATGAGATCGCTGGACCTTTGGGTTCAGCATTCTGTATCCTGACCAGGAGCATCCCTTCAGGGTTTTAGATCGAGGTCTTTCCCAGCCCTTCTTGGAGATGACTGAGCTGGCCCTGGGGCATTAAAATAGCTCTCCCCCATGGTTTGACCCCCAGCAACCAGTACTCAAATGCACAGTTGAATAAACCTCAATTACTTCTCACCGTAAACTCCAAAAGCCACAAAGGCAATGTACAAAATTATGCTTAAGAGGTGCAAAATTTGGATTTATGATGCAAGTTACCAAAGCCTTTTCCAGAAGGACATAACCTTCATCCCAGCACCACCACTTCACCCACCTCTTTCTTCTCTTTGGACATCCCTTTCCAGAGTTCTCCAGCTTTCTTGGACACATCGGTGACACTCATACCAGGACATTCAGCTCTGATCTTGTCACGATTAGCATTGAGCCAGAGCATGTAGGCAGACAGAGGTCTCTTTGGGGCATTAGGGTCTTTCCCTTTCTTACCCTGTTTGGGGTGGGGGGAGTGGGAGAAAAAAGACAAAAATGTATCATAGGAAAAGGAAAGCCCCTCCCTTAGAACATCTTCCAGATTCCTTAAAAAAAGACTGCCTGACCTGCCTCCTAAACAGCCAATATGGAAAACCTCGGGGCAACACAGTCTGGCAAGCTGCCACTTCCCAAATTGTTTCACAAGCACCTCCTACCATAACTCTTGATCACAGTGCTAAAGGCCCCAAGGAATTAATGAAGACTATATACCTTACAGAAGTCCTTAACAAAGGCTGATCTCCCTCCTGAACATAAAAGAATGTACCTAGTTTATTACAGCTATTATTTACAACTATTAATTTTGATTATGGAGCTTCTCTCTTCATCCATTAATCTTGCCTAAACACAAGAGGCTCCTTTAAAAATCCAGAAAAATAATGCTAAAAGCCATATTCTGAAAGGCCTGCAAGTCCCAGCAAACTCTAGCCAGCACATAGGAGGAAAATCAAGTTTGAAGGAATTCCAAAACTGCATGGCTGGCTGGGGCATGCTGGGAATTGTAGGGCCTTTTCCCTCTCCAAGCATGCCTGGGATTGCGCTTGTGATCATTTACTTTCTTGCCTTCTCACAAGCAACCAGTTCTGAGAGTCAGCCACCAGAATGCTTTCGGCTGTGTTCAGAGCAAGTCAAGGGAAAAATGGATATGGTTTCAACAGGCTTTTGTGCTCACCTCAGGCGGCTTCTTGCGAGGCTTGCGTTCTCTGACAATCTTGGCCTTCTTGGCAGGTTTCTTCTTTTCCTCATCACTGTCTGCTTCATTGCTAGACGAGCTGGCTGATGCGTTGCTGTCAAACCTGTCTCAAGGAAGAGGCACTCAGGGAAGGCTGCTTCATGCCCTGGCAAACAAATCCTGGCAACGCTGTCTAGAAGCAAGTGCGTGTGTGCACACAGTCTCCCTCTTCCCCTACCAGGGTCCCAGGATCTGCCCTGTAGCTCCTATATATTCCCAGATCGACCACTGGACCATAGAATCATTAAATGAAGGACAGAAACCACAAACTGTTTACACAGCCAGGCTAGATCGGGTAATGCACATTTACAAGCACCAGTAAAGCACGTATCATCCATACTGCACAGGAGCAGGGCAAAATGCTGTCCAGAGCATTTAAAGCAGCCAGTATGAAGGGTTTGCTGACTGTTACATGAAAAGATCAAGAAGAAAAGTGGATTTTGTACTCACTTGTTCCTACTTAGGTATTCATGTTTGAAAAAAGCCAATCAAGTAGCCTTTCAAATAAGCTAAACTTCATACACTTTCTAGATAAAATAGGAACTGGCGTGACTGCTCACCCTTAAGGTGTACACCAGCAGCCTATGACTAAGCAGCTTTGCCAGATTACTAGCATCCAATATTTTCCAGAAGCTTAGGCCTCAGTGTACAGTACTAATCTGAAGGTAAGACAGCATGTTTACAGTGGATGATGAAAAGGGAAAAATGACTGAAGTGTGGCTCAAGACAGCACCTCAGCTCGGAGACCAACTCTTCCCCAATTATTTTGATTATCCTTTTTGTTTTCACCCATCTGATCCTCCCAGTATGGAGAATCAAGTTCAACTGTAGCCCCCGCACCTCTTTCCCCGTTGTTGCAGTTACTCCTATCACAGATCTCTAACACTCCCATAGAATTCTCCTAACCATGCAATTTCTCTGCTGCCTCAGGATTAGCCATGTTCCAAGGCTCCAAAAGACACTTTCACATTGCTACAGATTACTGCAAATTTAATGTCATGCCCGTCCCTTCAAAGAGCACAGAGTTTCCCAGTATGTACAAACACACTGATATCCTGAGTTTTGGACCCAAACACATGCTCCTCCTAGACAATGTGGTCAACTATGACATTAAAACTAAAAATGACCCAAGCTCATTCATACACAGCAGTCATTCAATTCAATAGTAATATTGCTGGCAACCTTAAAAATTTTACTTACTCTTCTGCCACATCCTCTTCCTCTTCCACAGGATTGAATGATTCATCTGGAAAAAGAAAATCATCATTTCTAACCCAAACAGAAATAGAAAGCAAAGGAGCAGGAGGGAATGATCCTGGTTGTAACTGAGAACAGTCTGAGGACAGCCCCGTCCCAATCTCCAGGCTGAGAAGAAACGGCTCACCTGTCTCTTCACCAGAGTCCTCACTGCTGTCATTCGCATGCTCTTCACGAATCTTTCCCTCCTCCTTCATACGCTCCAAGTAGGCATCATGTGTATCTTCATCTGAGCCAGCATAGTCATCATAGGGCACAGATGTTATGCCCTAGAAACACATACAAGCAATATTCCTTGGAAACTAGCCCAAGGCCTCCTCACTCCACTCTTTGAGCAAACTCTCTTGGCATTTTCCACAACCAAAACATGCAGAGATCCTACAACTACAACTCCCACCATGCTCCCGGGTTCACATACTGCATAGGAAAACTTTCTTACACACAAACACACGCGGGTGCACACACACCCTTGGATTCTTCAACAACTGAGTACATGCTGCCTCCCAGTTCTTCTAAAACACATCTTCCCTCCCTTCCCAGGAATGGAAAGAATCATGCTAGTGATCAAGGTGGGTTAGGTAGAAGCCACTCCTGGAGCAAAGCAAGCTACTGCCCCTTCCCTGTGGTTCATGCAAGGTTATACTATGGTGATTAGGAATGTTCACCACAGCCATGCAAAGGAGACCTGAACCAAGAGGAGGAAGAGGAGGGGACAATCGCACAGACCTTTTTCTTCTACAAGGAGAGAACAGAAATTGAGAAGGGAGAAAGCTCTGGAAACAAAGAGACACCCTCAGCCCAGCCCAAGCGGACCAGGAACAGGACTAGACAGCAGTTGCCTAGCTAGCCCTGTCCTCTCTCTTGCTCAGTCTCCCATAACAGGTACCTCCTTGAGTCCTCGGTTCTTGATGTTCAACTTCTTGGCATTCACAAAGTCAAACAGTTTGCCATATTCCTCTCTGCAGGGAACAAAAGCCATAGCTGCAGTCATCTGGCACAGGCACAGTATTCACTCACCTGGAGCAGAACTAGACACTATAGAAGTGATTCTGCTGCTCTCAGGGAAAAGGGGCCCTGTGCTGTGGTGGGTGGAAGGCGAGAGGTGTGAGAGGGGGAAGGACAAAGGGAGGTCAGGAATATTTTGATAGGTGAACCAGATCAAGGCAAGATGGAAACATTCAATGAAACAAGTCCTCAAAATCCTGAGTCACAAGCAGAGCTGCCTTTCAGAATGAAAGAAGCTGAAGGGTGCCGGTAGTTCTCACCCCTTCCCCCACAGCAAAAGGCATCCCATATCATGGGAGGGATGATGTGCACACATGTGCTTCCAAGGTTCTCTGTTAGGTTATGTCACTCACCTCTCTATGCTGCTAAAAGTGTATTGGGTCCCCTGCTTCGTTTCTATCTCAAAGTCGAATGAGCGCGTGGTTGTGGTCCCACGGGCAAAGTTTACAAAAGAGATCTCATCAAAGCGGATATGGACGGGTGGCTTGTGCACATAGATGAAGCCACGTTCTAGAGGATACAAGAGTCCCGAACTGGCCTTATAGGAGCAAGTGATGCACTGTGCCCCGGAATGCCTGTAAAAGGGAGAGACATACATCTAGCTCAGCCACATCTGATACACTGGTACAGCCTCTCCATTGCACAGTCCCACTATTCTGAGTTGTTTCTGCCTTTTCATCTTGCAAGACTCCTTGCATCAGCCTGGCTGGTAGGTTACTTTGCACATGTTTGTCCACATGAAAAAGTAACTGGTCTTCTACTTGCTTCTCATAAGCAGGAACAGTCTTAAGTTATGATTTAACTAAATTTAACATAATCATATAATGTTATGATATAGGCTTGTAGCAAGTAAATATTGTGTTAGTATCTGTTTCTGATACTAACAGAAGCATTTGTACTGAGCTTTTCACTGACTTAGACATTTAAGGGAAAAACGAAAATTTCCCAGCTGAATCCAGGAAAAGCCAGCAGGTGTTTCAGATAAGAAAGGTGGGGAAAGGGAGGTAACTCCTTACTGCACTATTGCCCACGTATCTGATTATGTGTACTTATGATGCAAATACTACACATAATATTGTGGGAAGTAAAAAAAGGATAAGAAACATTTATCCTTTAAATAGTGAAACAATATACAGACAAACAGAAGAAACTGTTATTTTGTTTGAAAGGAAACAGTGGCTCAGAAAAACTGATAAGATATGAAGGAAATGTATATCATCTCAAATCATAGCTGAGAACTTTAGGAAAAATGGTAATCAATCATTAGAAAAAAATGTTTTATGAAACACATACATAAGCAAGTACGTATGCAAGGGAAATATACAGGAACTTCAGAACCAAACTTCAGTCTTCTCTCTGCTCATTTTTATTACAAGCTCAGAAATGTCATTGGGTGAGCTATTTTACTACTTTAAAGACAATGCTTCTAAATGATTATTGCAGAGGTAATAAAGGTATTTTGCTTGCTACTACTTTGCATGTTTAATGCCTTATATCAAATGTGAACCATATAGAAACTGCTCAAGGTTTTTGAAGCAAAAGAGAAAAAGATGCACCTGACTTGAGAGTCCTCTATTTTTAAAAATGCATGTGCTACTACCAGGTATTTTGTGAACTTAGAAATTCCTTGATGGCACTTTGTTCCTGGAATATGGCATGATACTTGTTACCATAAATGCTGATCCACGATCAAGCAAAATAGAGACATTCCATATTATAATATTCCCAAAGCAAGGACAAATCTGATACATTACTACCAGTTAGCTCCAAAGGAAATAAAAAGATGGCTAGCATAGACAAACAAGGTATGTCTTTACAGTTCATCACACCAGCCATCTTTAAGCTTTAACAGTAGCAGCAAATTCAACTCTACCCACTCTTCTTATTTACACTGGATCCCAAGAAAAGCTACTGGCTTATGTTTTCTCCATCTTTGCACCCAAGCACGCCTCACCCTTGGAAGTTCCCAGGCACAGTGATCTTGCGGTTGACAAGGGCTTTCATGACACGACTAACCATCTCATACAGGGAGCCAGACATATTCTTGGTGAGCCGTCCCTCAAAGCGCTTCTCTACCTCATCCCTAAATATGAAGAGAAGACAAGTCAAGACAGAATTGCACTACAGGAGCCCTTAAGACACTGAAAATAATGGATATATGTGTTGGGAGGAAAGTAACAGGGTGTGGGTAGATGTAACTAGTGCCAGAAGTCCAGCCTAAGCTTACAGTCTTGTGCCTGGGACCAGCAGCTCGGTTCACATGCATTAGTTGTGGGGATTGCAACACAGTGTCCACAGAAGCCAATGTACCTAGACCTCTCCCTTGGTACTTAATAGCCTCTCTAGATTTTTTTAAGCCACAATAATTTTTATTTGAAGACGTTTTAATGGGGAAAATTTAACGTGAACGCTAGAGGAATCCTTAGAATATAAAATGGTGGGCAACTGCAACCCAGTGCTTTGTTCTGAAGCACAACCACCCACCTAGAAAACAGAAGCAAGCTGTGAAGTGTTAAGGAACATTTGACGGGGGAGGGCAGACAGGGCAGTGCTGAGCGAAGGGGCAATTTGCCTGAACTGTGTCCTCTGTTTCTTTGTTTTTTTGGGGTGGGGAAGTTAGGGTTTCTCTGAGCATTACCAACTTACCTTCTGTGAAATGGACTTTTTTTTTTTTTGCTTCAGGGGAACAAATATGGGACAGAGCATTTCAAGCACAGTTTCCACCTCTTGCCTTGTATATTACATTGCCTGAGTCACTTGTTTCTAGGATGCATTAGCTTGCTGTCTGTGAAATGGCTGTCAGAGAAGACGGCTGTGGGTTCAAATATGCTTTTGTGTTTTGGAGATCCTCTGTCCCACTTTTATGTAGGTTTTGGGTCAAGCTATTTTTTCTTTTAGCCTCCCAGTTTGTCTTCTGACAAATGGCAGTTTTGTGAGTGTCTGCAACACTCTCCCAACATTCCAAAGGTTGGTGATACCTGCATTCATGTCCCCTTGTACAGGTACCACTTCCCCCACCCCCTGCCTCACAGCCAGCAGAAAGAGGAATGCAGGAGCAAACAAGGAAAATAGCACCAAATAAAACAAATTAAAGGATGATCTGTGGTGTCAAGCTTAAAGGCTGGCATAGGAAGCCACTGGGAAGTTTCATATGCAGATATACCACAAGGCAAAGCTAGGGTACCTGTGGCTCTCCATATATTATAAAATGTAATTGCTGAGCACTGGTCACATTGGCTGAGCCTGATGTCATCACACAAGGACCACAAGTCCCTGACCCCTGCTATAAAAGAGCACATTATGGTGACGGGTACTTACTCATTCATGTTGAGGGTCAAAGAGATATCCTCATCCTTTGAAAAGAGTAGGATGAGAAAGTGGTAGCGAGTTTGGCCTTGCTTTATAGGAGGGTCTAAGCTGATCTGAAAGGAAGTAGATAACAATTATCTTTGTCATGAGTCCCACTCCAAAAGAATCATTCTCATAGGGACCAACCACACCATAATCACATTCAGGTCTTATCCCATGACATCTAGCCTTCCTCCCTGCTTAGCCAACACCTGGCCAAAATTTCACTTTGCAAATCCCTGGCAGAAGAGAAATCAGAATTGCATCCAGGCAGTACCAGTCTCAAGAGACATTCAGCTGAGATAACAGCTTACTCCACTCTGAGAAATTGTTTCAAGCAATTTGCAGTCTTGGATTGCTTTATCCAAAGGAATGCAGTTCACAGAGATTCTTTTGGAATTGGAAGTATAACAAAATCAAAGAAAGGCAGGGAAGGGAAAGGTCACAATGACAATAACCACCCCAAGAATAGCATGATCTACACGTAGGTTGAAAGCGCCTAGAGTAGCAGTTGCTTACAGCTAAACGCCCAAGTGTTAAATCAGAGCATGCAGCTGCCCAGGAGTTACCACTTCTTGCATGCTCAGCTCCCAAAAGTTGCCAGGCCAGGCCGCTCTGACTTTCTTTTGGCATAAGACCCAACCAAAGGACAAACAGACTGGCCAGGTGTAAAACCTGGGAGGGCAGCACTTGTGAGAGGAATGGGCAAGCTAGCAGTGCAACGCGAAACAAGCAGGGGTTTCAACCTGCTCTAGATGGAGTCACACTCCCCCTGAAGGAGCAGGTTTGCAGCTTGGGGCTACTCCTTGATCCATCTCTGTCACTTGAGGCTCAGGTGGCAACAGTGGTTCAGAGTGCTTTCTACCAGCTTCACCTGGTGACCAGCTGTGCCCCTACCTGGGCAGGGATAGCCTGGCTTCAATAATCTGGTAATCACCAGAGAAGATTATTGCAATGCACGCTACATGGAGCTGCCCCTCAAGACAGTTCAGCAGCTGTAGCTGGTGCAGAATGCGGCAGTCAGCTCAATAAATGGGACCTGGAGGTCTGAGCACCCAGAACCAGTCCTGGCCTACCTGGATGCTTCCAGCTGCAATACAAGGTGCAGTTCTTATCCTATAAAGCCCTATATGGCTTGGGGCCACAGTACTTGCCAGAGTGCCTCTCCCACTCCTGATCTACCCAGACACTATGCTGTGTCTCTGGGACCTTCCTCTGGGTGTCAACCCTGTGGGAAGCTCAGAGGGTGGCAACTAGGGGGAGGGCCTTTCTGGTGGTGGCCCATCTTTGGAACCATTTCCCCTGCAGCCTGCCTGGCACCAAACTTGCCATCTTTTCAGCACCAGGTTAAGACAGCCCTCTTTGTGGAGACCTTTAAAGACCTCCCTGGTCATTCAGGGGCCGATACGATTAGCCAGGTGTCTTCCTTTAAGTCTTGGCTGGGTCCTTTGTTAACTTTTGTCTTTTAATATTGTTTTATATTATATTAAAATATTTTCAATGCTTAATGTTTTTATCTACTGCATTGCTTTTTATACTTTGCTGTAAACTGTCCAGAGAGTAGTACAGTATAGAAACAGTATAGAATTTTATTATTTTTTTCCTGGATTCTTCCCTCCACCTCGGCAGCTACTAGGAATGAAAAACAACAGGGACAAATCCTGTTATTCTGGGATTTCAAATTAGTAGCTCAGGATTTAAGCCACCAGTCCGTCTCTCATAAAGCACCAAGGAAGAAGGTCAGGGTCCCACAGAGAAGCATATCCCACAAGGCAACCACAATTACTACACCTAGGGAGACACAAACTGCCCCAGTTCTACTGCTCCTCACCACAAAGAACATCTGGCGTTGGTCTTTATGGGGCAGGAGGAAGAGCCGCAGAACAGTCGTATAAGGGATCTTGTAGTCAAATGTTTTGCCATGAAGGTGCAGGAAGGTGGGATAGATGCGAATGTCATAACGTCCACGAGGTGTCAAGCACTGCAGTTCTCGGAAGATGCAGATGGCATCTCCAGTGGCCTGGATAACATCTGCCTTGGATAACACATTCTGGGCAAATGCCTACAAGAAAGATTGGAATGAGAGGTTTATGAACTCATGTTTCCTCCCTGTCTTCACCACCACCTGGTCAGGCAACACTTACTTCCACAGGGTCCACGCCATCCTCCTGAGTGGGCGGCACATAGAAGCGCACCTCCATCAGTGACACCTCAGCATCGTCATTCTGGTGGAACTCCAAAGTCACCTCATTCTTCCCAGTTGTGCACTGGGACACATTACTGAGTGGGATCTCAAACACAGGCTGCTCCCCAATGTCAAAAGAGAGGAGCTGTCCTGCAAAACATCAACAGGATATCTTTCCAAAGAAAATAATACATTCTCACAGCACACAGAAACACACACACACACACCTTACAGGCTGCATACATTATGACAAGCAACCCTGCACTGCTTCCAGGGTGTGGTCTCTTGCCTGGATGTGCCTGAAAAACTATCAAGTTGTTTCTGCTCTAGCAGAAACACTTTCCACCATCCTTGCTGAGTCCTCCCACTGCTGTCACATTTCGCATCAGCCACCATGCTTGAAATTCAGTGCCATGTAGGATGGCTGAAACAGCTCCTGCAGTTGGCACTCTTTCCAGGAGACTCTATGGTAGCTGTATACCAGGACTGTGGAAACTACAATGTCAGGTTCAGATCATGGAAACCACTGAACAGATCCTTTTTTCTAAAAACCAAATGTAAAAGGCTGAAATATTACAACAGGGTTTCACAACAACACAACAGACCATCCTGTGCAAGAAACCACAGTGGTTTCTTGTGTCTTGTGAACCTGCCCACAATCAAACCCTCCCTAAGGTAATAGAAAACTCTTCCATGGTTTCCGTCTAGCTGTATTTCCTAGAGACTTATTCCATGTGCCACAGCATACCATCAAGCCCACGTCCACATGCAAACTCACCTCCAAATTTCACTGTTCCCCAGTTCCACCCTTTCACACACAGATCTTTTTCCACAAGCTCCAGGTGAAAGTGGGTCTTGAAGAAATCGGAGAGTTTGTCAAACTCCTAAGGGAGGAAAATCCTTGATTGACAAAAAGTCTTGCCCACAACCCCCATTACTCCCAGACAGGCAATCATGGGCAGTGTAGTCCACAACATCTGGGGGGCATCACACTGGAGAAGGATGTACTAGTAAATCAATGGTGTCTACAGTTGCAACTAGTTTTGAGTAGCTCTCTGTAGTTGGGTAGAAAAGTTTCCATTGTGCATCAGAAATTAAACTAAGTTATACACCATAGCCAGAGTAGAGTACATGCAGAGTACAGCTACATGGAAATGTAAAAAGCAATACTAACAAACACTTTTTGATGTAGATGAGCCATTAAGGAAAAAAAAAACCTTACGGCTTGCCAGCATCACTTTCTACAAACAGGGTGGATAAAAATCAATGATTTAAAAATAGATATAAAAATAAATTGGATTTTTTAAAAAAGTCCAATTTTTAATTTAATTTTGTTAATAAAATGATTTTTGAGGAAAAATATATCTAAAAAGAGTTTTCTGTTTCAGAAACATTATAGTCCAAAGGTTATTCATCATGAAATAAGGATTTTTCTAATTATGTAGTATGGGGCTGAATATTTATGCAATGTTTAAATGTTTTGGTAAATGAATTCTATTAATCTGTTCACAATGTCATGCTCTTTCAGAGGTTTATTTAAGATTATTGGGCAATTTTTCTATCTAGAAGATATTATCACAGATGCTTAGTTTTACTGTTCTCAAAACTGTGAATTTGTGCGTGCAGAGATCGCATGCCTCTTCTTCACAGCAAAAATGTTATAAAATAAACATACAGAGCTGAGAAACAGCCTTACTTCCATTGTTCCTTTGCAAATCTATGTACACAGAATCAACCCCTTACCTCTTAAGTGCTAAGTTTCAAAAAATTCAGTGAATAGAAGATTCTTGGGAGTTGAATAAATCTGCACAAGAAGCTCAGTGTGAGAAGGGAGGGACAAGCAGTAAAAACCAAACTGAAACCTTTTGAGCAGAGCACTCCACAAGTCTTTGGATCTTTTTGTGTATAGTCTGAGGTTTATCATAATATTCTTTCCCTGAAGGAGAAAACTTATAGTGGCAGCAGACCCATTTTTGGGAATGTTTTAATGAAATTCCTCTATCTAAGGGTAAGGCAGACATGTGTGCAAGTTATGTAGAAAACCATGATTGAAATCCAGTCTTACTGACTAGTGATTTAAATCAAATCCACCCTATCTACAAGAGATGCATAGAACTGAAATTCTTCAACAATAACCAAATATAAAATTGGCAGCTCCTCTGTAAGGGCCTGAAAATAATAAAAGTAATGAATATGAGCATAAAGCCAGTAGGGAAAGGCACATCTCAGTTATCTAATTGGATATGAATCTGCCTAACTTCTGGCCACAGTGTACATTCAGAGACAGATTCCAAAAGAAATCAATCAACTGTAATCCTTAATACCAGAAGCTGCTCATCCCACTATGTCCTGGGAGCCTGCAATGGGCTGTACTATGACACATTCAGAAGCAAACTCATACCATGAGGGACCTTACCGTCTCTCTGAATCCATCATACTTGTAGACATGGCCATTTTTTGTAAGCAGTTTGAGACCATGGCCCAGCGCTACTCGTCGCCAGATGCCCTCTGACAATTCTGAGGCCTGGATGTTGTCAACTTTTCCTGTTTTGCTGTTCTTGAAAATCACCCCCTGACGGCTTAGCCGGAGACGACCATCATTCTAAGCCAGAAAAATGAGAGGATGATACTAACAAAGCAACGGTGGATGAAGCACCTCAGCAGGAAATGGCATCTAATCTTATATGGGTGAAGGAAGGGCACTGAACTTCAAATCTAAAGACTGATGGATCCTTCTCCTATACATCTCTTTCTTCCTCCAAGAACCATCAAAGGCCCTCTTTAAAATACCATTCAGAACCATCTGGACAGCAAGTATACGTATAGTGTTTACAACAGCTGTCCCACATCTGTGCAAATCTATTCTCCTAGAATTATTAATGCTCAAAAATTTGGGATGGAGCAAACTTTAACTCCAAATACGTTTTGTTTCTAGCCACATACTGATGATCCCACCTAGACTCAGCCCTCAGTATTCAATATCCAGGTTGTAGACTATTACTGGCATCACTGAATTAGTTAGGAAGCTTTTTTACAGTTTAGGATAGCTCAAATGATTTGGTCTGAAAATTAAACAAAACACACAAAACCATACTCTGCTTTCAAACTTCCCACAGTGGACCTTCAGTCTGATTCAGCAAGGCAATTCTTCATTCTTAAAAGGTGAACTAAAAGGCAGAATTGCCATTTGTTCAATTGAACCTCCTGAAAACACAGAGCAAATGGGACACAGTGACTAGAATGTTGGACTGGGACTCAGAGGATCCAGTTTCTAGTCTCTACTCAGCCATAAAACTCACTGGGTGACCTTGAACCAGTCACAGACCTTCAGCCTACCCTACTCCCACTGCCGTTGTGAGAATAAAGTGGAGAGAAGGAGCAGAAGGATTATGTAAGCCATCTTAGGTTTCTTGCAGGAAAAAGGCAGGAGATGGATGGATGGATTGAATGAATGAGTGGATCACAGAATTTTGCAATGTGGTTTCAGTCCTCAGCTCTGCATTGAGACAGATACCCTCACCAACACCAGTTATTATTCCCTCACTGCCAAATCCAAAGGTTTCTATTATTTTTCCTCTTCAAAGAAGCTACCCTCGCCTGCTCTTCTTTTCATTCCCTAAGTTTCTGCATGTCTGCCTTCAGTCGACTCTCTTCTTGTCTGATCATCTTATTCAATCAGAGTTTCTATAGCAAGAAGCCCCTCCTGTTCATTCCCCCCCCCCTCCACTGAGGTCTCTCAAATCTGTTTCTGATTCTCTTACTATCTCTCCACATGCTGTCCTTGGACAATCTCATGTAATCCCAGGCTTTTAGTACCACTTACCCACACAAATCTCCCCCAGAATTCCTCCCTCTAAACAGTCCAATCTTTACCTATCTGATATTTTATTCAACACCTTATCAGACTCATTATGCCCAAGCCTGAAATTCTCATTTGAACACTTAAACCTTCCTTTTCATAGAACCAATAAACCTTCACCACCGTGACTTTATGCTTTGTTCCTCCCACTTCCTAGGTCTCTCTGTTCTGCCCATTGTCAAGTCACATCTACTTGTCCTGTTCAACGCAGCAAAAATACAACTCTTCCTCCCCACCAACCTCTCTGACAAATCAGAGGTTCACACTCTTTCTGGATATCCTCCACTTCAACTACTACATTCTTCTCTTCTGTATTCCATTATCATACCTCAGCACTCTCCACTCCCATTGGAATGCCAGAATCACCTATCTCTCCCTTCAGATGTTCTCTGTGATACCCCCATAAAAAACTTTCAGGCTGGCTTCTGGTCCACTCCCAGATCCAGCACAATGCCTAATTCCCTGGGCTTGGCCCCACAGACTCCAGTCCACTCTGCGGCAGCTATGAGCCTGAATTCCTGGCAAGCACACCCAGCACTTGCACACTGCTCACCAGGAATCAAGACCCACACACTGCACAAGCAGCATACCTCTTCTATGCCACACGCAGCTGCCTTTGCGTTTCTGCACGTGGCCCGGAAGAATGTTGCTGGCTGTGCATTTGTGGAATTTCTCTTGGCTCAGTTTGCTCTCCAAAACAGGGCTGAGCATGAGAAGTCTGCAAAAGACAGAAGGATGGATTCTGTGAAGCTCAGATGCATCCCTATACAATGCCTTCCTCTTGCTCTTATATCACTCCTTAAAACTAACAGCTGGCTCAAACTTTTGTCTCCCTTAGATGAAAGACAAGATAGCGTCTTCACCCCTCCATCATATTCCATGTACAAAAGCTCATTGGACTGGCAGCTGAATCACAGCATCTTTTGCCATTCCTGAGGGCAAGAGGATAAGTTGGGGGCACAGAGAAGGCAGCATGGTACATACAACTCTGTCCCCCAACACCTTTCCCCTGTTCTCTAGCCCCTTTCCAATGGTACAGCTGACCTTGCTAAAAACCCATCCAAACTGAAACTAAGTCTAGCTATAAACAGATGCATTTTATTCAGTTAGTAATTTGGTATCCACTGTGCTTCGTTTGTGTTGTTTCCATATGGATCGTAAGCTCCTCAGATAAAAGGTAAGTCTTATAATTTCTTCTAATTAATTAATATCCTGATTTTTCTGCAATGAACTCAAAGCAGCTTACATAATTCTTTTCCTGATGCTCTCAATCTTATTCCCACAACCACCCTGTGAGGTAGGTTGGGTTGAGAGTCTATGACTGGCTCCTAGTTGGCTCCAGAGCCGAGCAGAAACTAGAACTCAAATTGCCCGAGTCCCAGTCCTGCATTCTTAACCACTACACCACACTAACTCTCCATATTATTTAGGGTACAATGTGTACTGGTTGCGTTATATCCGTTAGAATATTCATTTCTTGCAGTGCAGCATACGCTTAAGCATGTGGCAGTCCTTGAGTTTCTCCCAAGCACCCCAGTCAAGCAATAAATGCATTCAAGACTATGGTGTCAAGGTTCAGAAATATGTTGAGGATTCAGAATTAATGAAAGCACTATACTACTCAAACCCCTCTATCACTGGGATAAAAAACAAGCCACTCAGTAAAGCCTCTAGACATTTGAATTAAAAAAAAAATGTTAGCAGCTCAGAATGCTTCACAATTAATAAAATAAATAGTTAAATATATGGGTGTCACATTCATTTAAGTATCTTTATCTGGTAAATAATCCCAAGTGATGTACAATCAGATTGCCAAGTAATCCTCCCAGTGGCATTAACAGGTGTTAATCATAAAAAGGTAAGTTTTATACCCAGCTGAAATGTCAAACTCTGCATTAGGAATTAAAGAATTTATCAGGAAAAAAAAAACCTGTTGACAATATGTGGAGCTTCAAAGCAAATGTGGGTTTCCAAGATCTGTGCTTCAAAACATAGATGGAATACTATTTGTCTCTTTATATGTGTGTATATAAACATAGACACAATTTATATATAAACACACACGCACCATCCTTAAATTAAGGGTATTTTAATAAATGTATTACCACAGCCTCCAGAGTCTTAAATTTAAAGTTTTCACCCACACTGGATCCATCAAAGTCAAAATATATTATATTTTGATCCCTTTAAAGACAGGATACTCAAAAGACACCACAGATCAGCCTTTCTCAACCTAGTGCCTCTCAGATGTGTCGGATTTGAGCTACCATGGCCTAGGCTATAGTCCATCATATCTGGAGTACAGCAAGTCAGTAAAGACTGCCACAGATCATAGTGAGTTCTCAAGAAAAACACTGGGCTCCACCTTATCTACTAAAAGGGCAAGCTGGTAATCCTATCAATAAAGCCAATTTCTCTCCAAACAAACAACTTGTGCTTCACATACATGCTTTACATCCCCCACTCCAAATTACCAAACCTCCCACCCTCACTCACCATAGATCCCTTCACCTCCTGGTATATTTCATTGAACTCCAGTGTATCTGCCATGTTGACAACTTCCTCCCAACCCCTTGGCCACTATGGCAGGGGCTGGAGTTACACCAACAAGATGTTGTTCTGGGAAAGATTTTGTGAACGGAACCAGATGGGTAGACAAGAAAATGTCTTAATCCTTTCTTGATGCTGACATATTTTAACCCTTGAGTGAAGCAAGATGAGCTCTGGGATCCAGCAAACATGCAAATGATACTAAGGAACCTGGGAAGAAAGCAAAGAAATAAAAAAAAATCCCAAACTTTTACTAAATACAAACCATACACAAAAAATCCAATCACTTTGCAACTGAGCAGCAAGTATCTGCCTTTTACCCTAACTGGGCACAGCCATCCCAGCCCCAACCTGCCTACGGGGTTCCCCCAGTGAAGTTTCAAACGAGGCCTCACAGAGTCTGCGAAAGCCCCAGAGCGTGCTGCCTGCCTGCCTGCCTGCCAACATGTCCGCCTTACAGCTGAATCCTATACGTGTCCACTCAGAAGCAAACCCCACTGAGATCAATGGGACTTACTCACAAGCAGCTACATATAAGATTGCGCGCAGCAGTGGGAATCCAGAGCTATTCTCGAAAGAGCGCAGCAAGACACAGCGAGGCAGCGTCCACCACCATCATCCCAGAGGTTCACTTCCCAAGCCCCCACATTACCCTCTCACCAGATACACTTTCCCGCCTGCGCAACACGAGTCCCAGTCCCCCACTGTACCGGAAGTCAAACCTCACTTCCGCCTTTCGGAGCTATTATTAAGGCCGTCGGTTGCACGAAGGTATAGAGGTATCCCATCATCGCTTTTGCTCTGCCTTAAACTTCCGGTAAAAGGGAAACTACCGTTGCACATGATTCTCTACGAAGGTACAGAAGGGCCGCCACTTTCGCGCCTGTGTGGACAACTCTGACGAACTTTGCTTTGGGAAAGTTAAGAGTGCGAGATCTGCTCAGTTTCGGATGCAGAGCGACGGTCAGGACTGCGATGCGGAGCTTCCTTAAGGCAACGTCCGCATTGCCTCAGTTCTATGGCTGAGATTGAAGCTCCCCATCTTGGGGCAGTGAGTTCCTCCACTGTGCCTGGATTGGCTGCTGCGCTGGTCCATCTCCAGGGTCTGGAGGCCCCCGACCTCTGCTTTTGCCCCTGTAGGAGCAAGGCGCTTAGTATCAGAGGTATAGGAAGGGCTGAGATGGCGATTCTCTTTCTCCAGTCGAGACGTGCTCCCCCCACTTTCCTCTTATAGAAGATGAAAGTCAGAGCTGCTCATAGACCTTGGAAAAATCTAACCTCTTTCGGTCATTCACGCACAAAAATTATAGCAAAAACGGAAGTTACTTTGTTCAAACTTTTTAATGTTTGGATTTTATATGAGAAAATGCTTCGTACTTTGGGAGAGCAGAAATTAACCGTCCAACATCCTTTCCCCCTACAATGACTCTAGAGCAGGGCTATCACGCCTTCTTAGCCCAGGGTTCAACTTAGAAGCAGCTCTTGGTGACTCCCTTTCAGTGGTGGGCGGAGCCAAAAGCAAAAGGGGTGTGGCCCGAGCGGCGGCATATGCTGGCTCAGGCGTCTTCTGCCTGTAGGTTGGGTCTGGGGGACGCAAGCTGCCCAGTGCTATGGATGCACCATGCACAGGCAAGTGTGGCAGCGAGTTAGAGAGCAAAGCTAGTGTGTGTTCGTGTGTGTAGAAGAATGAAACTGGCAGTTGGAGAGTGTCCAAGTGAAGTGGAAGGGGAGAAGAAATGACAGGACCTGGGTAGGAGGGATTTAGGTGGAGACAAACGGTATATATTTGTTTTCTTGCTTAGAGCAAGGGTTCTTAACTTTCTGAAGGTTGTGGACACTTGGAATTTCGAGAGGGTCATGGCTACCATGGGCGGCTTGACCCATTCTTTCATGAATTGGCTTCCATGGTGGGCATGTCCAGTTACAAAACACTCATTTCCCAGAAGGCAAAGTAGTAAGACTAATAGAAAAGTAACTAGCCCAAGAATCCAAGAATTGCAAAGCAGAGATTTGGGGGTAGGAGTCTGTGCTCCAAAATACAAAATTGCTTTTTAAACCCAAATAAAGATTTTGAACTCAATTGAAGAACAGCACTTTGCTTTTGCACTTTACTTTCTCCTAGTTTTTTAAAAAAGGAAATGCCTCTAGAAATGGAATGAATAAGAGGGAGGCAACCTGATGGGTGCCGAGAGAGAGAGATTCTGACCACATTGATGTCAATGGGCACTGGGCTAGAAGCCCAGACTTCTGGATAAACAAATTGTTCTCAAACTGGAGAGGAATAATACTTCCAAAACCAATGCCTGGACTTAACTTGAGGAATGCTAGATGATGGAACTCTCTGCTACAAGGAAATAATTGTAAAGAATTTTAGCTATTTTCAAAGAATGATTAGAGAGCAATATAAAATTATTACCAACAATTACAGGCTGATTGTGGGAACCCCACCTTGATCTGAGACCATTTATTGACTGGTGAATTTCAGGGGGATTTTTGGTGCTCTCAAGAAGGCCCTGGGAGAAAAAAACCCCTGAGAACCCTGTTCTAGCTTACAGCTCTTCCCTCCAGTAACTAAGTCTTAGGAGAAGCATTTCAAATTTTAGTGGGAGTGGCATGCAAAAGCAGGGAAAGTACCAACTAATTGGTTGGTGGGGGAAGGGGGCAGGATCATCTGGCTGATTTCAGGAGCAGTAGGGTTGAGGTTCAAAACTTGCCAAGCAGAGCAGATTATAGTTGGTTGCCTGAACTTGAAAAGTTTGAGTTTCTGGATAATGTTATGGCATGCCACTTTGCTCATCCTAAAATCACAACACCTATTTGGAGAGTCAGAAAGAATTAAAAGCTCAAACAAAGACTAACAACTTCATTCTGGCATGAGGTTTTATGGAATATCCAGTCCACTTTGTTAAAGGCATTAAGTGTTAGCAGAGTTTTAGGCATATTTATACTTCTGACAAAGTGGATAAAAAGTTGATGCCAGCAAGATTTGTTCATCTTTAAGAGCACCACATTTACACAGGCTGGGACATGATCACATGTTTTTCCCTGTAGAAACATGCAGAGAACAGTATGTTAAGACTCTTTTTTGGTTTTGCTGGAGTAGGATAACATGACAAATCCTTTAGAGATTGGCAAGAATCCAAGAGTGTCTTCAGCGCTTGTAAACATCTATATTTCTAAATACTTCTATAAGTTGTCACTGAGAATTCCTTCCAAACTGTGTCAGCCGCATTGCTGCAACCGGGCACAGGGTATGTTATAAGTCGCTTCAACACCACACAAGGAGAGCATAACTTGGATGAGGAGTGTGGCAAGGGGCAGGCACCTCTGGTCTCATGTCTCACACAAGGAGAGTTCACAAGGGGAACCTGTGTTGATGGGGAACATCAGGGTCCTCCCAAGACATTTTGCTGCCTCAGATATACCCTCCCCATTCCAGTTACAGAAGCTGGCTAGACTGATGGTGGTGGTGGTGGTGGTGATAAGGACAATGCTGCTTTGCAGTGGCAGATGAAAAAACAATATAAGATGCAAAAAATAAAACATCAAAATATGATACAAAATTTAAAACTGAATTTTGAAAGCTACAATAGTTTACACAAGTTAAAGCGTAAGGTAAGCAGTTAACATGATGCACCCATATAATATAAAACTAATTAACTGCCCTGTCATAAAGGACAGACTTGATATGGCATGGGAAATATATTAAGGTAGTGCAAGGCAGGGCTAAGTAAGGAGTTTGTTCCATAACTGGGGGGCTGCCCCTGAAAAGGCCCTTCTCCTTGTTGCCATTAATCAAACCTCCTTTAGAAGTGGCCCCCAGAATTTGATCATAGTATCAGGGTAGGCTGTGGTTGGGCGAGGTACTCCATCAGGTATTGTGGTCCCAAGCTGTGCAGCACTTCATAGGTTAAAACCACCCTGAACTGGGCTCAGAAGCATATAGGCAGCCAATGTAACTGCCTATATGCTTACATTTAGATATAACACATCTAAATTTGTGTTAGATGATTGGGCCTTTTGGTCTCTGTTACAAATCTGGCTGCCACATTTTGCAGCTTCTGAATGATCTTCAAGGGCAGCCCTATTTACTGAACTACAATAATCCTGTTTACTAGAGAGTAGATTACTGAAACCAGGCTATTGCTATCCAGATAGCACTGTAGCTGCTCCACTAGTCAGAGCTGGTAGAAGGCTATCCAGGCTGCTGAGGCCATGTGGGCCCCAAGTGACAAAGATGACATATGGAATACCCCCAAGCTATGGATCTCCTAGTTTTGGAGGAACTGTCCTATCAAAAATAGGCTGAAATCCCTCAATCCACTAACAACACCTCAGTCGTGTCTGGATTGAGTTTCAGTTTGTTAGCCCCTGGTTGATGGTATCAAAAGTCACTGAGGAATCCAGAGTACCCACAGGGTCTCGCGCCTCCATCTCTCTCCCAGCATAGCTCATCATACAGTGCTGCCAAAGCTGTTTCTGTGCTGAAACTCAGCCTGAACCCAATTGGAAAGGGTCCAGATAATCAGGTCCATTCAAGACTGCCTGGAGCTGGTTGGCCATCACCCACTTAAAAAACTTGCCCAGGAAGGGGATTTTTGGCAATCAGCCTAAAGTTATTAAGAACTTATGGGTCCAGTGAGGGTTTCTTCAGGAGTGTGGACTCACCACCACATTAATCACTTCCCCGTTCCAGCTGGCAATTCATTCTTTGCTAGCTTTTATAAACCAAGAGAGGAAAGGATCTAGTACAGAGGTGGTTGCATGAACCTGTCTGAGCACCTTGTTGAGATCATTGCGCTGTACTGACTGGAACTCATCCAAAAGAAGTTAAGTAGACTGTGCTCTGGATATGCCACCTGATTCAACATTGATAACATGGAAGTCCCAGCAGATGCAAGAGATTTTAGCCTGCGGGTTCCTAGCAAATATATTCATTCAGGCCAGCCTCAGCATATAGACCCTGGAAAATTTTGCAGAGTGGCTGACAGAGGCCTGAAAGAGCCAGTGCTGCTCTCACTGCCTCCAATATACTTGATCATAGGCAAATATCAGGGTTCCATTGAATTCACTAGGAGTTTTCCTCCATCTGCAGTCAATTCATCTCGTGTTTTGTTCCATTGCTCTCAGTTCTGGGAAGTGCCACGGAACCCTATGAGTTCTATCACAGAGAAGAACCTCAGGAGTAATTATGCCTAATGTCTAGGTCACCTCTGTATTCCAGAGATCAACCAGGGATTTGATAGGACCACCAATCAAAGCATCCAGAAATCCCAAAGAACCCTCTAGAAATCATCTGTATCCATCAGCCTCCAGGGTGGACCATCTTAATAGGTCTTCCACAAATGTACAGGGGAACAGTTGCACTAGTTCCAGCAGGCGGACCATGACAAAGGGACTGATTCAACGTCCCCATGATCTTCATGCCTGTCTGAAAAAATAAATCCAGAGCAAGGCCTGCTACATGCATTGAGCAGAGGACATGTTGGGACAGACTCATGGTTTTCATGGAATCTATGACATTTTGAGCCACTCCAGATAGGGTATCCTTGGCAATAAACTTAACCCCCCCCCCGCCACCCAGACCAATAGCCTGGGCAACCTGAGCATTGCAGCCAAGATAACCTCCTTCAGCTCAGGGAAGGAAATTTGTGGGTCATGGGGTGGATGATAGACCAGCAGCATCCCGATCTGTCCTGGTGGCCAGCACAAGATGCTGCCATGCTGGCTGTGGAATGCTGAGAATTGTAGGACTTTTCTCCATCCAAACATGCATAAGGTCATACTCTTAAATTTCCTAGCTGCTTTACTGGCCTTCTGAATTGTCCTCATACACTGCCTTTGAATAGGCTTTGCTAAATGAAGTAAAATTATGTGTCTAGAGGACCAGTCCTCTGAAGGAAGAGCCAAGAACTTTGCACACGCATACTCTTATGCCCGACTTGGGGTTAATTTGGAAGCTAGTGAGGGCTAGTATCACATCTTATAACCCATTTTACATTTTCAAAGTTTTCCTCCAAGGGAAGCATTATGCAGCCTCCTTGCCTCTCTGACCCTTTCCCCCCTCCCTTTCTGATTGTGCAAAGAAAGCCTAATGCTGCAGAAGCAGAGTCCGTAAAGCTGGAGCACCACTCAGGGAAAACGCAGCAATTGCAATTCATTATTTAATGCTTAAGATCTATGCACTCGCTAGAATCTAATTTGTAATTGATGAGCCGGGAAGCTCCACCTTTCTCTAACGGCATCACCATCGTGTTGGGTGGGGGAGGGGGAGAGATCTTATTAAAGGGGTCCCTGCAGTTCGAGCTTGCCCAGACGTAGCCAAAGGAAGGAGGGAGCCTGACATCTTCAAAAAACATCTTCTGCATGTTCTATCAGCACAGATTACACCATTGTGTCTACTCCTAGACCCATCACAACACTTTGCCACTCTCATCTCATTGCAGAGCACCCTGGATCTGCCCCTCAGGGCCCATGCTTTCCTCCATCATGAGCTGCGTGGCAAACTTCTTCACCTATGAAACCACCAAATCAGTGGTAGTCAAGAGCTGGACCATCGGCGTGATCAACCGGGCTGTCCAGTTGCTCATCATTTCCTACTTCATTGGGTGAGGGAAGGCAGGTGAATGGGGGTGGGGAAGCTTGTCCTAACTTGGGAAGACCAGGTAAGGGTTTACAGTTTAAATGCTGCAAATCATCTTCAAAATACTTTTTGTCTGAGAGGTGCTAACATTTTTGTGTAAGATGCTGATTAGTGTGTGGTGGGAGAGGGACAAGGAAAGAGATGAGGGAAAGCAACCAAATGTATGTTAGCTATCTTTGCCGCTGCTGCTGTTTCTCCACCTCTTCCCGCTTCTTCCTCGTAAAATTCTCCCATCTTATTACTGAAAGGGGTGAGAAGCCAGGTGGCATTGGTTCCTAAAGTGACCACTTGGGGTCATCAGCGGAACTGTTCTCCCCTGCCAGTCTTAAGAGATGTTAGAATTTGCATTTGGAATATACTCCAGCCTTGCAGAATCCTAAAAGAAACCCAAAATCGCCAGCTCTAGAGAAGGAAACTGCAGCTACATGTGGCAGAAAGGAGCTCATGGGGCTGTTGAAAATGACTTCTGCTGGTAGGATTTTGGTAATGGATAGAATATTGTTCCCCTCTCTTTCATGTCTGTGGTGCTGTAGTTGGGAAACTTTTTGGAGAGTCAAGAAAACTAGGTGTCAAGAGCATCATATCAAATGCTGTCTTTGCAAAGATGCTGTTTCCTCATCTGCATGTTCCTCTGAGAGAATGTTGTCCATACTTTTGAGCTTCAGCTCACAGTTAGCCAAGAGGAAATCACTTTGATAGGCAAAGAAAAATTTTGTCATGTATAGTGTGTTACTGTTTAACCAGTGTATTCTGCATCTGTCCAAAAGAAACTCCATTCCACCAAATGCAGATGGTCTCCCACGGGAGACACTGTTTGGTCACTTGCTTACAAAAGCAAGGTTGTTTGCAAATATAACCATCTTTGTTTGTAAGGCAAGGTTAGAATTGGGATGGTTTCAGGCAACATTTTGCACCACAGTATGTGATTGTAAAGACATTGCAAAGGGACTCCTGTAATTGCCTGGTCATCTGCGCATCTGTAGTATTCAGCCACAGGATGGGGCAAACTTGCCTCCCCTACTCCAGTTTGAGGAGTCCAGGATGGGTGTTCATGCAAATACAGGCAAAGAAGTACAAAACATGTAAACTTGAATTTGCAGAAATTGCAGGGTAGAAATTGGTGACTATGTGGCATTCTTGAAAAGTAACTGTGGCGGACAATGATTGTCCTGGATTTGGGAGATTATTTGAGAGAGAAGAAGGAGTTTCTATGAATATAGCAGTAGCAGTGTGACCCTCACCTTGGTGCTACAGAATGTCTTGAACATGACAAGGCTTTGGTTCAGTTTTGGGGTCTGCTTCTTGAGCGACAGTGAAAAGAGACATTGAGCAGGTGATAGAGATGTTTCCAGTCACAGCAATTCTATCTGAGTAGCAACAGTGGACTAGTTGGGAGTGGGCAACTTGTGGCCCTTCACATGTTTTGTCCTCCAGCTCCCATCATCTGTCATCCTCAGCTTTCCGGGCTAGGGCTTATGGGGGTTGTCAGCCAAACCAGCCAGAGGGCCACATGTTGCCCATCCCCCCAGGCCTCAGGGACAAACGGATTGGCCTGGTATAAGGCAGCAGCTGGGGTTCCATGGGAGAACTGGGACGGCACTGGAAGATGTTCAGTGATGGCTTTGGGAGGGAAATGCACTTTCCCCCCAGGCCTCTTGTTTGGGTGTAGTCCATCACTTCCTGGGGGATTACTTCAAATAAAGTGATTTCAATGTATTATTATTATTATCATTATCATTATTATTATTGACATATATAAAATACAGAAAGAAAAAAGGTGTGTACGTGAGTGTGTATGAAAAAGTAAAATAAATAAACAAATTTACTTTTAAAATTAATTATGTAAATAGAAGAATGATTGAAGAATTCAATGACAAATCGGATGTAACAATTAATAGGATGTAAAAGGAAGCTCTTTAAAAAATTAGTTGATGATTTATAATTGATTAGAAGCAATTGGAAAATTTGTTGGCATATGGAATAACTCCCTTTTTCCTGGACTTCCATAGAGTACTGAATGCTAGATATTTTCGGTCTTTTTGAAAACTGTGGGCTTGAATGTATTGGTTATATTTGTTCAAAATCCTTTGGCAACTTTATTTATTTTACTTACTTTACTTTTTCCACATATAAAGTGATTTCAAAATTGGAGCATACATAGGTGAATGTGATTCAGGTATTTTACGTGAGAGAGGGAAGGCTGCATGAGAAATCAGCTTGGGAAGGCACAGTGGTGGATTGTGAGCAAACGTGGCCAGCTTTAAGCTAGCCTGGCTGGGCAGGCTATGCACATGTGTGAGGGACGGGGAGCTATAAGCATGGAAATTAGAGCTATGAGAGAAATAAGAGAGAAATAGGAGCTATAGGGATAATGAGGTACTGTGTGAAAAGTAGTAATTAACTAGGAGAGGGAACAGTGAACTTGAAGGGCAGCAAGTGCAGCAAGACAGTAATATAAGAACAGCCGCCCCTGGTAGTGGGGTGGGCTTACTATTATTGATTATTATGCATAGATCTATCACTATGGTTTTGACTTCCAGCAATGCCTGATCAGAGTCTGGGAATGGACAAAAGGATGCTAATGTTTCTTAATGGCCCATGGGGATCTCATGGGAGCTCACTGTTAGAAGATGGTTTCCTGATGCTGAGATCTTTCTAGAATGCTAGAATGTTTGGAATGAGAAAGGCATCCAGTCTGGGAAAATTGTATCTGTCCTCCATGAACTCCAGGCGTGTGTGTCTGTGTCTGTGTGGGTGGGTGGCTAATGTGACATGAAAGTTAAACAGCAAGAGGAGCAAAGACATGTTGTAGGTTGAGGGACGGGTACTGGGATGCAGAGTGTCTTTGACATTTGATGTGTAGCAGATCCTTTGCCTAGTAGGAGCCAGGTACTGCTTGCTTGTACATGAGCAATAAAGCAGATAGTACCAAAAATCCTGGCAGACAGAGAGCACCTAGTGCTACCGGTCCAAAAGTGTCATGCAGCTGTTTGGACTTTCCATCCATAATGGAGGTTTTTGTGGGATGAAAGAAGAAGGAAGAAGCAGTAGGAAAGTTCGGTGTTGCTTAGAACCCCTGTACAGTTCCGTGTATGAGACAGAGCAATGGTGCTATATTGTATTTTCTTTTATGTTGTGAGCCGCCCCGAGGCTTCGGCGAATGGGGCGGCATAGAAATGTTTTAATAAATAAAATAAATAAATATAAAAGCTTTGTCCAGAAGGTGGACTGTGTTGCCTCTGGGACTCCCCACCACTTGGGGAAGTGAGGCATACATAACACCATGTTCTAAAACAAGGCTAGGAAAGAAATTCGGTGCAAGACTCACACAGCACTTTGTGGGCCAGACAACGTTAGGGGCCTTGTTATGTCCATTGTGCAACTCCAGCTAAGATTTGATGAGGGACTGGCTTTGTCGCACATGGCACAGCCGCTCTGGCTACGGAGGTAGGCGCTCCAGTCACTGCCTCCACTGCGGTTGCTTCACCTGCATGGTGTCCTTCCTGGTCGGGGAAGGCACAGCGTAGCCCAGTAACAAGAGAGAGAGACTTGGGTTTAGGCACTTGGGATCGGGCACCACCACAGTCACGGACTCCTTGTTGGGCCCCAAAGAAGTCATTATTTGTAAACCTTGGCTCCTGGTCTGTAAAATGGGGTGCTGAATTCTTCTGAAGATAAATGCAGTGAAGACTGCAAAGCAGATCAGAGCTGTCTAATTACTAGGAAGTCCAGCTGAGATTGGCAAAACTTTCTCTGAGAGAACATGATTCTAATAAGGGCACAAATGTGTCAGTAAAAGAGCAAACACAAGGAGCATTCTGTGTTGTGAAGACGGGATGTTATGAGAAGCAGCTGAGGTCCCCCAGATGACTCTTGGGCATGAACAAGGGGAGGTTGGTGGGGCGCCCGATGGGATGAAGCGCAGAGAAGCCGCAACCATCTCAGAGGAATGGAGCAAGTTCCTTTGCTGACAGAGGCTACATTCCTTAGGCACAGTCCCAGGGGAGTGTGGATGAATGCATTGAGGTGAGGGGGGAAGATGGCAGGAAATGACTGGTGCCTTGGCAAACCCTCCAATAACTGTCTGAATGTACACATGCTCTTGCACACACACACCAGCTTTACCTGAGTGCCTGGAGGGAGCTTCCCCTCTCCCATGTTAACCCAAGTTCCATTAAGCTAAATAGCCACTTCGGCCTTGCCGGCCGTTCTTCCTCTTGCAGCTGGCCACATCCTCCCCTACCCAGGGAGAGCTGGTCCTCTTCTCAGATGCAGTGTTGTTGCTGGGAGGAATTGCCTGTTAAGTCCCGCCTTACTGCTCCACTTCCGAGGCTTCGGCAGGCTAATGAACACTCCATTCCGCACAGGGCAATTACTGTACCTAACAGCGCAATAAATGCACAGGCCCCAATTCAGCTCACAGCTGTTGCGACTCAGGCATGCTTCCTAGGGAGGAAGCCCCAGTGAACACCGCAGGGTGCATTTCTGAATAAATTGCCCATAGGCTTGCACACTGCATAGCTCACTGGGAGTGATAGACTTCCATTTCTTCTGTGGGATTTACTAGGTGCACCTCCTTGGGAGTAAACCCATTTGAACTCAGCAGTACTTGCTCGGGATGGATGGGACTGGGTTAGAGCAGCAGAGCTGTCCTCTGTGACGTGGTGTGCCTCCTCTGTGAAGGAAAGTTACCACATCTCAGCTTGTTTAGCTTAGAGGAAGACCGGTGAGGAAGAAGAGGCAGGGTAGCAGTGTACTGAATTATCACAGTGTGAAGAAAGTTGATGGGGCAACATTTTTCTTCTTCTCCCATGATACCGGAGCCCAAGAGGGAGAGCAGTATAGTTAAAAGGAAGTATTTCTTCACACAATGCATAGTTAAACTATGGAATTTGCTTCCACAAAATGGTGATGGCTGCCAATTTGGATGGCTTGAAAGGGGATGGGATGTATTAATGAGGGATAAGGTTACCAGTGGCTTCAGTTCCTGGTAGCTACCTGCCACCAGCAGTATCAGAGGCAGGATGCATTCATCAGTTGCTGGGGAACATGGACAAGAGAAGATGTTCTACTGATGTCCTGCCTGTTGGTTTCCAGGGGCAACTGGTTGGTCGCTGCGAGAAGAGAATACATGAATAGATGGCTTCGTGTTCTGATCCAGCTTCACCATTCTCATGTGCTTATCCTCAACTTCATTTTCAGTACTTAAAAAAACACTGCACTGTTTTAGCACCAATAAAAAGTTGTTTTAGCACGACTGGTTTGTGCCCATGTTATGGGGCCTGTTGGGTACCCGAAGCCTTTCAAGTGGAGCTAAAAAAGCATTTCTTTATTCTTGGAAGAGGAGCTGGTCAGCAACACAAATCCAAGTGAAGCTGAATTTGGATGACAATAGAGCAAAAAGGTTCATTAAATACAAGGGATCACTGTCGGGGATGTGGTAGCCTTGCTTGTGCATGTTCCTCTTTTCAAAACGTAGATCTCCACTGTTGCACTGAAGTGGTGTGAGAGGGTTGCCCTTAGCCCCCAAATGTATTTATATTTATTTACACCATTTGCTTACTGTTCCACATCGAGACAGATTCCAGAGTGGTGACCAATAAAAAGACAGATAAAAGAATAAAAACAACAGGATAACATTAAAACTGTGGCTGGTCAAAAAGGAAGGCTTCCCAAAACAAAGACAACCTTCAGCCGACACCAAAAACAGCACCCTATCAGAGTCAGTGGGGTCCATAGAAATGCCATAGCCGCACTGAAGGATGTTCTCCTGGAAGACTCCAGTGGGGCCATCAGTCCATGTGGAACTACCAGGGGATGCCATCCAGTGACTGCAGTATCCAGGCAGGTGTGAAAGGAAGAAGGTGTTCTCCCAGTTAACCAGGCAGCTCTAAGTGCTAAAGAAGTTTTACAATGGTGTCAACATAGTGGAAATAGAGTTGTGTCACTCACCCTTAGTGATCCTCCTTCTGAACCTCCGGTACGTGCCACATAATGTTGGCAGCATTAGCAATGAGCATGCTGGACCAGTGACAAAAGCAGGATGGTTTGGCGAATGAAACATTGCTTTAACAGAAACTCTTCCTTGAGCAAAACAGGCAGGATCCCATGCAACAAACAAAGATCAACAACTGTGTATTTGTTAAGGGGGAAAGAGGTACAATACATTTCCCAGTCTTTAGCAAAGATGTCAGGAGAGGAGTCACTAAGAAAGTCGCATTTGGCTTCTTCTGTATTCATCAAATGTAGGGAAATAGCTGGACCATTTAGCCAAGAAAACAGTTTGTTTTTGAGAGTGCTGTGCTTAATGTAGTAAGCATTTTACTAATTTCTAAGCGGGCTTGGAGGTGGGAGAAAAACCCTAATTTGATTTGATCCATTAGTGGCTTCCAGCTTTGCTTGTGCTGGCATCTGATCCTTCCCAAGGGTTTTGCCCACCCACCCACACTCCCTTCTGATGTTCAAAGAGTTTCTTCCAGCACCATCGGGACAGCACCGGCTGTGCTTGCTCACACAGGCTTCCGGAGCATGTACCTGATCAGGGTGTGATGTCACATAGCAGAGATGGGTTTTTTATTTAAGGCAAGCAGTGTGAGATCCAACAGTGAGGATGACGTCCCCAGAGTGGAAATTCAGTGCTAATATTTCACAGGAAAATTAATTGGCCTTTGGAACAGTTTGCCAAAGAAAATGGTTGACTCAGGACTGGCTGTTTGATATTCCATAAAAGGTATGGAATTGCCATTACTGGGGAGATGGCATATATACCCTGCTATATGCGGAAAATCAGACTAATGAAGAGAAGTGCCATTTATAAGCCGTGATTCACTGAAGCCCAAGGCGGGCAAAGTGCTCTGCACTGCTTCTTTCTTAAGTGAAGACTCATATTTGGAAGCAAGCGTAATTGAAATAAGCGAGATCTACTTCCAAGTAAATTTGTTCGGATGACATTCAGCAAATGATGATCATCTGCCTAGCCTTGTTCTTGGCAAAGTCAGCGGTGCCATATCCAGCAGCTATACTTCGCTGGAAATTTAAGCCACGTATTGCTGCAATGAGCCAAGGTAAATCTTAGCACTAGAGGGCAGCACCTAACAAGAAGTGAGAAGGCAATTGCCACAATTTGGTTAAAGTAACGTCCTTTGACAGGGTTGACCCTTGTTGATTGCCTGGCAGGGAAGCTTGCCCAGAGAACTTTGGCTATTGAGCAGAATGGAAACGAAGTAAATTATTCAATAATCTGAAGACTGTGATAGGTACTATGTCTTTTTCAAAGGCTAGGTGCCATAGATCTGTCAAAATTTAAGTGTCTTCACAAGGTACATACAGCATACCGAAATGTGGCTTGCGAAGCCTCCAGAGGGGAAGTGTTCCACGTGTTTGCATCACCACTGGGAAGCTGCATTCAGTGGGGCTCACCAGATGGACGTCCTGTGGGCAAGGAATTCTCAACAAAGCCTCAGAAATAACTGTAACACCCAGGACTGGTCCAAGGTCACACAGCTCAAATAGGAGAAAATGCCTCTATGATGCTCTTGACTCAGACTGTGAAGGGCTTTAAAGATGACCCTTGCTGTGCTTTCGAATTATCTCTGCATCTGAAGTTGCACCACCTGAAATTCCCTCTTCACTACAGCTCTCAATGGGGCAAGAGCCTCCTTTGCACCCAGTCAGGCAGAAGGACACTTCTTGACTGCTGATGATGTTGCAGAAGCCAAGAAGGGGAGAATTAAGCACTGTCAAAGAGCAGTAGGCGGTCACTTTAGAAACAGGCGGATGGGTACTTACTGGTCACATGTCCAGCTCAGCAGGAGGTGGCCTCTATCTGAAGATGCCCCCTGTTTGAAGGGCTGTCCCACAAGTCCAGTTTGAAGGGAAGGAACCCTATGAAGGAAGAGTGTCGCAGTTGCCCATCGACCACTAGCATCTGGAGAACAGACTGGTCAGTCACCAAGAAGAATTCAGTAGCCAAACAAATGTATTTAAGGACTGCAAAGGAAAGACCTCTGACCCAAGGACGGTAGGACTCATTAGGTGCCCACACATTCATGTTCCATCCCAAACAACAGTCACAAGAACAGCTGATTTTCCCTTTGCCAGATTCAGCACATACTGCATTTCCCAGTCCCAGGAAAATGTGGCATTCTCAAAACAGAAGGTGTTGATAAGAAAATGTTGGTAAACTGCAGCTGAACAAATGAGCAGCATTGTATCCATTTGCTGCAATCAAAACTGATGGTGCAGATAGGCCCAGAGAAGGAGGGATGGGACTGAGTGAAGTAGGGACCCCAAAATGGGGCAGCTGAAAAATAATAGTAATGGAAATTGATAGAGAAGGCCACAGTATCCACAAAAGGGCTAAGCAAAGGCAGGGGAAGAAGCTCACAGACCCCAGGATCTAGCACAGATAATGCTCCACAAAGGATGCTTAAAATGTTTCATGCAGGCCCATTGCACTAAAATATTGTTTTGGTGATGCGAGCAAGTCCAGAGCGATCTTTATATGCCTTGCAATTTTGTAAAAGGCCATGGCAATACCTCCTCCCTTGTTCCAGAGGAGTTGTTAAGAGGTTTTTCCCCCCACAGGTGGGTGTTCCTTCATGAAAAGGCATACCAGATCAGGGACACCTCCATTGAGTCCTCCGTGGTGACCAAGGTGAAGGGCTTTGGCAAATACAGCAACCAAATCATGGACACAGCTGATTATGTCACACCTCCACAGGTAACTCTTTACAAAGCTCTGGGTAAAGGGGTTGTGAGGGGAAGTGTCCTGAGCACACGGCTGGAGCAGTGGTCCAAAGTGGGGTGTTAACCCAGCAACAATGTGGGAGAAGACAGAGGACCTCTATGCATACTGTCAGCTGTCTCCTTTCCTAAGTTCAGCAGATGCACTGGATCTGCTTCTTCCCTGGCTTTCCCCTCCTCCTGAGTAGACCCTGGGTGACCACAGCCAGGTAGGTGCTCCAGTGATGGCTCTGGGTCTTCCACCCAAAGGAGAGCTGGGAACTGAAGCAGAGTGATGGATGTCGACCAGGAGGTTCTTTAGGACTCAGGTGAGGCATCGCTGTGACAGGATTCTGTGAGTGGCCACAGGTCTGCCATGAGGCTGGGGTCTGCAATGCACTCCCATAGCCCTTCCTCCTCCCAGGCAATCTCCCCTGGACTTGGATGAACTGGGATCCTGGCAGGTCAACATCACAACAGACTAGATAAGGAGTCATGTGCTTGTTTTGGTGATACATGGATGAGTAGTCAGGGGCTACCCAAAATCAGGATGCCCCTGTGCTCAGGCATTGTGCCGGGCCCTCTGGGCTGACAGTTCTGCTGAGTATATTTTTTTTCTTTAGGACATGGTGTACACATGGATGTATAGCTCTTGATTTCTCAAAACTAGTTTATTGTACACCTAATTGTTAGTGACTTGATACATTTTAAAAAACTGATCTGGATCCAGGGATTTGCCTGTAGAAGGAGGTGGATGGAAGGTGGTGAATGAGGCAGAGGCATCTTTGGTTCCATTCACAGGAGTTGTCTCTGAACAATATTCCTCCCTCTTCCCTTCCCTCCTCCCCAGGGGATTCAGCAGAGTCCCTCAACCCTTAGAAGGAGCAGAGACAGGGTGGGTTTTTGCTTGGTACCAAAAAACCCCAGGACCCAGCAACTGCTGTGTCTATCTGTCTCTTTCTTTCTTTCTTTCTTTCTCCCTCCCTCCCTCCCTCCCTCCCTGTATGTGCCCATGGGCAGCTGAGTGCTAGGGCAGATAGCCTCCCAAAGGTTCAGGACTCCAGCCTCAGTGGCCCATTGCCCTGACACCATCTCTGAGCAGAGAGGGAACAGGAAGGTCAGTTCTGGTTGCCCTTTTCTGTGGGCTGGTCTCTAGATCCCAGTCAAGGCATTGTAGGAGGCATGATGTGTTGAAATGATTTCCTGTTCAACTGTGTTTTCCCCTTGCATGCAATCAAACAAAGCCAAATCATTTGGTGGACACAACACTAACAGAGGAGACTTTTCTGCACAGCCGAGGCAGCAAGCTACCAGCATCAGCAGAACTGTGGTTAAGTTATTGGAGTCTTGAGTCAGGATATTCTAGGGATGTGTGTTCAGGTTTCATTGTACTTTTAGCATCCCATTTAGGACAGGTCAGTGAGCACAAGCAATTTCTGTTCTGAATATACACACTGTTGTTCTCAGGGCCGCAGATAACCCTCTTCTTGCTGCTCCCCCACCTCGCTCAGCAATTGCACCAGCGCACCAATGCTGCCGTCATTCTCTCAGCCCAACAAGGGCAGGCCCATAAGGAATCCAGAGCATGCTGCCGGGGCGGTTTCTGTGTTTCTGCCACCCCAGGTGTTTCTGCCAAAGGGAGTGAGTGCAGCTGCTCAGAATCCTGGTTGCCCTGGCTGTTGATGGTCACTGCCTTGTGTTCTGGGGAAACGGATGGATCGGGTCGAATCAGCAGGGGAGACTTGAAATGCTAAACTTGAGCGAGTAGCTGGCTGAATACGGTCGGTGAGGCAGCGCCCCTGTCAGGAAGGGTGTAATGTTGTTGTGAGCATGGGCTGGCTTGAGCACCATGCGTGAGTGGCCAGGGCCATCACCAAAGGGAGGGCACTAAACCTAGTTCTCAGCCCTCAAAAGCAGAGAGCTATTGGTGAAAGCACTTTAGCATTCACTCCATTTCAGATGCTCAGGCTGTGAGGGCCATTGCTTATATCGTGCAAGCAGCCCTCTTCAGCAAACAAGAGGGCAGCGTGATGGACAAGCTATCCTGGAAGAATGGTAAGGGAGTTGTTAAGGTTCCACAGGTAGTGCAGTGAGCTTCTACAGCATCCCACAGCCAGGATGGTTTCTTGGAGCCATGCCTGGGCCTCAGGTACAGCATCCATTTCTCTTAATTAGGAAGAGTAGCAGAGGTAATTGCCATGAAACTGCCTTCCCCAATTATATTCTTTTGATAAGGGCTGCTTCACCGTGAGAAGCAAATCCTCTTGCTTAATTGAAGCAGCTTCACTCTGCCTTGTGTCCCTGGAAGGGGAGTTTGCTTGCGGCTTCCTGACAGCCTCTGAACACGGGGAAGGAAGAACTCTAGAAAATTCACATCTTGCTGTACTGTAAGCTTTGGCTTTCAGTTTGGGATAAGGAGTGCAGAAGTGCCCAAGCAACAAGGGCTGTGGGGAAACATCAATTGCCCTGTGACCAAGGGCCATGTGTAAGCTTATCCCTTCCGGATGGGTTATGGGTTATTATCTGCCCCCATTTCCCATTGCAGTAGTCAATAGACTTTTATGTTATCTTTCATCCAAGTGGCTTCGCATTTTCCATACCATCCCCAAATCCAAATTGAGGACTAGGCCCATGGAGTAATACAGGAGGCATCTGATGATTCAGGGTCTGCAGCACTACACAAAATTTTTAGGGAGAGAATCCTGTTAAGGAAGCACCCTCAAAAGCATCCCAGGGAGGCCCAGGGCAGAGCTGGTGACCTTGGCATGCCACCTGACTTTTGAGAGAGGGAAATGAAACAGAGCATCTGGAACAGGAAAACCCCTTCATGCAATGCTTTGTTGCAGGCCCCATCCTTCTTTCTGAAGGCTTAAAGGCAGTATTTCCAATTATTTATTTGCTGGAAGCCACAAAGTATATGTGGGGAGAATTCTCATAAAATTGCTTGGAAATTATGAGTAACCTTTCTTGTTTGCAGAGATGGGGAAATGGTGGTGCTGAGATTAAGAGGAATTAAAAAACCAGAAATAAGTGGAAAAAACAGGGTATTTCCCAGCCAAAGAGATACTAGAATGGCTGTAGAGAAATATATTTATTTAGATTTTGTCCAGCCTTGTGAGTTACCCTGTGAGGTAGGCTAGGCTGGGGGAGGTGACTGGCCCAAGATCATCCAGGGAGCCTCCAGGTTCAGTGGAGTTTGGAAGCCAGGTCTCTCCAGCTGTCCTTGATGCTGAGAGAATACTTGGGTTATCTTTTCTGAAAGGGCTGCTAGGGATGTGCCTGGGATTTAGCCTAATCTGAAAATGAAATTAGCTGATTCAGACAGATATGGGAGATGTCAAATCAAAGCAGGGCTCCTCTGAATTGCAAGGTATCCAAGGAACACTCCTGAATTGCTGGGATTTCAAGAAACAGTGACACAGGCAGTGTGTCTCCAAATGTCTCCTCAGGCTTAACATACAGGGAAGACACTGGGGGATGGGAGAGAGGTGGGGGTTAGTTTTGTGACTAGCACCTCTGGCTAAAAATCACAGTGAATGTTTTAGCATGGCTCTCCAACCCCAGTGTTTTTGGGAGAGATGCTGAGGTGCTATATCACAGGATTGATCTGATGTTCAAGGGACTTTGTTAGTTCTCCCTTGCAGGAGCAGGGACACTAAGAGAAGTTTGATGGAGTCTCTGGGACCTGGGAGGGTGCATTTTGGGGTACTTGTCTGGAAAATGCTGGATGTTGATTCCTTCTGCCTCTGTCACTCTATGCTCTGCATCCATCACCCCACTGTCCTATTCTGCTTTGGGTAACTTTAGTGCCAACTGAGGGAAAAAACCCCAGAGAAGTCTTAGGTTTTTTTTCATTCATCATAATTACCTAGTCCCTCTACCTATTCTTCTGGAACTCTGCAGATTGCTTCCCTGTGGACACATGTGTGGCATTTACATTTTCATCCAAATTTCCAGAAAAGTCATGAGGATGGGACAGAGGAGAAGTGAGCCACTTCCTACCTCACAGCACTCTCCTTCTGCAAAAAAGCCCACTGTACCTTCTAATTTTTTTTCAGGGTCACCCTTATATTGTATATTGTTTTCATAATGTTGTTTGCATCCTTTTTGAAGAAACCCAAAGTTCCCTGTACTTATTAGTTCATAACTTGGCAGGCTTGATCCATTCAGAAGGGGCAGTTATCCCTACAAAGTTCATCCATTATTTTTTTTTAAAATCAGTAGTTACCTTAAAAAATAATAACCCCAAAATATCAATATGCATAGGATAAATGCCTCAACGCCCATATGTGCAAAATGTGGCAGATTCAGAATGTAATTCTATGCATGTTTAGACCGAAAGAAGTGCTACTCCTCTCAGCATCTCTCAGCCATGAACTCTGCAAGTTGTAGGGCCCTTTCCTGTCAAACCATAGCTATTTGCAGCTCATTTCTAAGGTTGGAGCCGGGGCTCTGATTTTTCTTCATGGCCATTTAGACAGCATCTAACAGCTATAGGTGACTGGCTGGTAGCCTGAGGCTTCCTGAGTAATGGAATTCTAAGTTGATAACATTAGAGAAGACTAAAACCCATAATGCAGGCCAGATCTGCACTGTAATCTCCACACCACACCGTCTCTGTTCTGTCCTTGTCCAGCTCATGTTAAGTGTTGTGAGGAGCCACGGCCAAGCAGCACTGCCTGAATCGGTAACCTCTATGATACATGCAGTAGAAAATGTAGATTTCTTTTCATGTGCACTCCTGTTGATATTCAGTGTGCATGTGGAGCACTCTTTGAGAGCTCCGCAGTTGTAAAATGTCCCCTAAACAATTCAGCAGCGACCCAGCTTTGTCCAGAGCCCGCCGTGTAGCCAGCTGAATGCGTTAGTACCGCCATCCTCAACTTAGTGCCCTCCACTACCCAGCATCCCTGTTTGTCCCTTCCACTTTGAACCTCAGAGTTGCTCTTTAAAAAAAGTCTGATCCAGGCTTTTAAAAAGTCATACTGCAGAGTCTGATGCTGCAGAGACTTCCTGCAGGTGATCTGGCTGAGAAAGTAGCCAAGATTCCCTGGTCATTGTTTGTTGATACAGCAGGGCAGGCAGCAAATTAATTTCTTTAGGCTACTGACGCTTTTGTTGCAATCTGGCAGTCATCACTGTGGCTCCTGTCTGGGTGTTTGCTACTTCTCTCTCTCTCCTTTGCTTTATATGGAAACTTCTTTCATTCTGTCCTTACCTGGCATCTTTTTCTCCCCTCTTTCCATCTCCCTTGCATATCCCCCCACCCCACTTCACAGGGAACGTCAGTCTTTGTAATCATCACCAAACTCATTACGACTGAGAACCAAGTTCAAGGGTACTGCCCTGAGGTAAGCATGGGCGTCAAGGGAGGATGACGTGTGGAGAACTGGGGAGCTGGTTGCTCCTCCCATGAGCAGATTTTGTGGACACGCTCATTTCAGCAATGTGGGATCAGTCTTTTGCAGGACTGCTCCCCCAAGCTTTTGTTCTTAGCAGGCTGCAGAAGAACAGGGGTTATTTTATGCCACGTTGGACCGTCAGTCCACTGAGGGTAGTACCATCTACGCTGAAGGCAGTGTTGCTCCAGTGCGTCAGATGTTCTAAGGCTCAGCCCTACCTGGAGATACTGAACCTTTGGCATGCGAAGCAGCTGCTCTGTCACCAAGCCAGCCAGTGATGGGGGATGAGGAAGTGGAGCAGAGGACCTGTGGGTTATTTTAAGAGGCCCCCCAGCTTCTCCCCACACCGAAAAGAAAGTGCAGTGATTGCAGGTGGGATGGGAAGAAGTGAAGACATTCTGCTCTGCACAAGTCTGGGCACCTTGCAAGGGCAGCTGCGGAGGCGGATGAATGAGATTATTCACCTCCCCATCCGTATCCTCATCCTATTTTCATTAATGCGTAATTGCCAAAGCTCTCTGGGCAGTTCGCAGCTACTCACAAAATAATTTAAGAAAAATCTGAAGAAAATACAGCATTGAATGCAAATATGCTAAAAATACAGCGTAACATTTCAATATACAAAGCAGAGAACTACTTAAATAGCTGAAACAATTTCAATAAAAGCAGACCTATGAAAACAGCTGGTGTGTCCCACTGTATGCCATTAAATAAAAACCTAAACCCAGGCATTTGTGTTCTCTACCCATCTCTTCTCTCTCCATTCCAGAATCAGCTGGAGTACAAATGTAGCTCCAACAGAGAGTGCCAGAAGCACATCCCCACCACAGGAGGAGGTAAGGAAATGAAGTCACCTAATGAAAAGAGGCACAATGCCAAGGAAGGGTTTCCAGTGCTCTATTGTCCCTGTAACTGTGAAACATTTATGCACCATTAATATAATCTTTTTAGCAAGTGTAGCCGGCAGGCACCCGGCAGGAAGCTGCAGCAAAGGGCCAGCCAAGTAGCAGCCCCGCTGGTGCACGGAGCAGGTACCCTGGGAGCCTCGTGCAGCTCCTCTTGGCTTCTGACCAGGAGTGCTGCTGGTGGAGCCACATCTGAGAACAGGCAGGCGTGAGTAACCTGTAGCCTCTGTCCCCAGCTCAAGAGAAGAGCCCTCCATTCTGCCTTGGGGCAAGAGCACGTGGGGAGGGTGGGAGCTGGAAGAGATCAGAGGGTGGATGAAGAGGGAGTGGAGAGAAGCCGCATGTGTGCGTGCAGACATGCATTTGTGCGTGATGGTGTGTTGAACACCAGGAGCCCGGACCACCAGCCCAGGCACCCGACTTCCCATTTCAGGTTGCTCAGGAAGAGGCAGAAGCACTTGCATCATAAATATTAAATGCTTTATTGACTACAAAGATATTGATAGATACAGATGCAGGTTAGCACTCAGCAAGTGAAGCAAGACTTACACACATGTCACTTCAGCTTGCAGGGCTTCCTAGTAAGCTGGCAGTCACCTTGGCGGGGTTCTGCTTTGCCAGCACCTTTGCACGCTCCTGGTCCGAAGCACACAGCCAGTTCTACCCAGCCAAGTTTCTAAATGCTTCTCTGCTTCCTAGAAAGGACTCCAGGCTGTTAGCTGGTGGGGAAAGGGGGCGTGGAGATGACATGGTTGTCCTAGCTAACTCTTACCTAAGGAAGGCAGTTCATATGGTGAGTGACTCACAGAGTCCCTTCCAGTCTGCAGGGCTTCTCAGAGGAATACAGGCGTAAAAGCTTCCTAGTTTAATGCATCTCATTTAGAGGACTGTACAGAACACAGTGAGCAGTTCGTCCTAACCCCTTGATAAAATGTCTTTTCCGGGCAATCCAAATACAGATGGAATGTTTCCTTCTGCAGGGATCCTGACAGGCCGATGTGTTGACTACAACACCACTTTCCGGACTTGTCAGATCCAGGGCTGGTGCCCAGCAGAGGTGGACAACATAGATGTGTAAGTGCTGCTATAGCACAGCCCATGATTGTTTCAAAGTGCGGGAACACAGGGTGGCATCCAGCAATAAAAACAGAGGCTCAGGCAAAAAACGTTGTGCCAGTAACAATGACTGCTAGCACAATGGGAAACCTGCTACCACAACCCAGAAAACCAACCCGCACAACCACTTCTGCATGTAACGTTCATGGAGCTTTGCTGACTTGGCCTGACTTGTAGCTAAAAAGCAGCTAAAAGCAGATATTCACCAAAAGCCACCATCCCATCAGTGAAAGGTACACTCAGCATTTGGGGTGCAGTGAGTGCCTCCTAGCAGACATTCCTCACCAATCTTCAATGGACTGGTAGGTTGACTTTAGTTTAATGAAACGCCTTTAGTTTAGTTTCATCTTTAGTGTTCCCATTATCCAAACTTCTTAGGGGGGAAAGGAAGCACAAGAATAACTTCTATATTTTTCTGATAATATTTTTGTAAATCAGGTTTTAGAATCAGTGATGTGCAATTCTGTACTACTGTTAGATCAGTTGTGCAATCCACAAATCCTCTTATGCGTGGAACTGCATATGGCAATCCTCACAAGTTCACAAAGTATGCACATTAAGTTAGGAGTCATAAGACAAAAAGAAGCTCCAGAGGATGGACCAATTCAAAGCACAGGAGAAATGCACACAAAATGGGTTCAAACAACATGATAATCCACAGTTAAGTGGATGGGTTAAGTGTGTCCGAACCCAGCTGTGTGTTTGTTAGCCACAGACAATTGACAAGGAAAAATCCAGGTACATTTGTCGCTGGATTGTGTACTCTGGGTTGTTCACGCTGGGTTGTGTACTCTGGGTGGTAAACACCTCCTGGCTGTGTTCAGACAACACAGGAACCCATGTTTCAAAAACAACAACAACTCATAGTCCACCTATACTCAGTCCTTCAGTGTCGGGTTATCATGTTGTCTAAATCCAGGCATAGAGGTTCTGTTTTGGGCTCCCATTGCCCTTGAAGCAGTTTTGCCAGGTATGTCTCCTTTGGGAAAAGAGCCAAACTAGATGAGATACTGTTCCCACAATTAGCAATTCCATGATTTTTTAAAAAAATAAACCAAAATAATTAACAGCCCCAAGCCCCAGTTTATACTGGGACCTTGGCAGAAGGGGCAGAGGGGCTTTTTAACCCCCCCTCCCCCCTCCCCCTCTCTCTGGTCAAGATCCAGACTGGGATCTCGAAGCTACTATTTGTATTGGCAAAAATTCTCCACTCACGCTACTGGAAGCTTTTTTCCCTCCTCGAGAACCCAGTCTGGGTTAAGAGTACAGCAAGGGGCCAAGGAGTAAAGCCCCCCTCATCAGGGCCCCACTCCAGTGCTACTCCATGCTGCTGTTTATTTCAACAAGATCTTGACTCCCATGCGAATGGCATCTGGTTTGTCCCCCGGGGTCCCAGAAAAAAATGCGGGCTCTTCCTTGTTCTCACTTTCCACATTCCTGCAAAACAAGAATGGCTTTTTTCAAACATCACAGCTGGAAAGCATTTAAAAATAATGTGAAAGAATTCTTTTAATAGAATTTTGATCCGCTGTCCATAACTCACAGCTTTCACTTCAAATACCCTTCTTGGAAATTCTTGCTTAAAATTTATTGTTGTTGTTGATTTCGACCACATTTAAGGGATGATTCCTGAAGGTCAGGAAGGGCATTTACTTGCCATCATGTACATACACCCTCTTCAGGTAAAAAGGGCTTCCCAAGGATAAGAGGCTATTCTCTGGTGGGGTCTCTCCTCTGGATTTGTTTCCTGTACTTACCCTTGCTCCAAGAAGCTGATTTGGGTCCATCTTCTCCTTACAGTCCTGTCATGCTAGAAGCAGAAAACTTCACCCTCTTCATTAAGAACAGTATTCGCTTCCCGCTGTTCAATTTTGAAAAGTGAGTAAGGGTACTGAAACCTCTATAACTGAGCTTATATTCCATTCTGGTATGGGATTCTTCATAAACTGTAGGAGGGCTTGTGTCAAAAACCATCTTCTGAAAATTCCTCCAATGCAAAACTTGCCCCTGACCTATGCAACCTGTGTACTGAAGGCCCTGAACAAAGGGCGGGAAGTGAAGGCTGTGTTCATAAATCAGAGAATGGCAGAGATAGAAGGGGCCAAGAAGGCCATAGGGACCAGCCCCCCGCTGTTGCAGGACACCAAGTCACACCATCCCTCTCAGATGGCTGCCCAGATTCTTTCTGAATGCCTCTAGTGTGGGAGAGCCCACAGCCTCTCTGGGTAGCTGGTTCCACTGTTGTATTTCTCTGACAGTGCAGAAACTTTTCCTGATGTCCAGCCTGAATCTGGGTTGTCGCAACTTGAACTAATTATTCCATGTCCTGCACTCTGGCATAAGCAAGAAGAGATCTTGTCCTTCCTCCTTGAGACAGCCTTTCAGGCACTTATAAAGTGATATTATGTCCCCCACCCAATCTTCTCTTTTCAAGGCTGAACAAACCCAGTACCAGTTGTACCACTCCTGGGTCATCAAAGCAGTATATAGTATAGCAGCGCATACGTCTTCCATTCTTTGGGTGGTGTGTGTGTCTGACACAAAGAGCGAGAGAGATCTCAGACACAGCTATAGACACCCACTTGTCTGAATCAGCCTTCTCCAACCTGGTACACTCCGATTGTGCTGGATGTCCATTTTGAATACCATAGCCCTTCAGATGTGTTGGACTACAAATCGTAGCACCCACCAACCAATAGCTCTGATTGGGAGGGCGCTTACAGTTGTAGCCCAACATGTCTGGAAGATGCCAAATTGGGCAAGGCTGGCCAAACAGTGTGTTCCTTTGCAGAAATAGGATAGTAGGTGCAGGCTTCATGCTGATGCCATCAGCCAGTAGCCCAGAGGTCTGCCATATTAGCAAACATGTGAAAAGCACCAGCAAAAGTCTGTGAAAAGATAGAGATGCAAGACAAGGCTCCGGGCAAGTCTTGTTGGCTCTACACTCTCCATTGGCCATTGCGGAAAATTTATCAGTTGATATTATCTCGTCAAGTTACACCATGGAAGTAGCTGGGACAGGATGGAAGAGGAGCTCATGCACAATCCTGACAGATTGATTGCAGCCTCTTTAAACTAGTCACCTTCATGCAATGATGGCCATCGTTCAGGTGTTATCTCCAATTACTGTGAGATTAAGCAATGGCTTGGGAAACATCCTAGGTCTGTGTTTTCTTCCCTATGCCACCCTTTTCCCTCTCTCTTTCCCCCTTTTCATTTGGAGCTCCATTCTCATCAGTCTGGCTTCCTTTGCCTCTTTCCCAGGGGAAACCTGCTGCCCAACATCACAACTGAAGAGATCCAGAGATGCCACTTTGACCCAATAAAGCAACCCTTCTGCCCCATCCTACGGCTCGGGGACATAGTGAAATTTGCTGGGCAAAACTTTGCCTCGTTGGCTAAGACGGTGAGAATGTCTGCTGGCAATATGTGACCCTGGTATGGATTCTCTGTGGCCATTGTGGGGTAGCTGCCAATTCTGAATTACAAAAGTTTGGCTTGACAATCCAGCTCCAGATGCTCACTTAGCGACCTTTAGAAGTCACTGGCCGGGCTCACACATCATAATAACCAACCCTGTGGACTTTGGACTGTGGTTTGCACAGTGTACAGTTTTTTGCCTGGCTGTGCCTGGTACTCAGTCAAGTGCTTTCTAGACTAGCATGGTTTCTATCCTTCTTGCTTAGTTCTCCCACCCTTCTCAGGTACGCCATCAGCCACCACACACACCTGCACCTGAACTTTGGACAAATTAATGCAGAATAGCTACTTATATCACTAATTGACCACTAGTATGTATCAGCCCCAGCCCCATGCCACACTTAAGCATAAAGGGTGAGGGGAAATCTAGGCTTTTGTTAATCTTTGGTGGCTTGTACTTTATGAGGAAAGCAAGTTTTTAAAGGGAAATTAATCCATACTCAGTGATCCTGAGTGTGTGTCTTTAGAATCAGCTCTATGTTCCTCCCCTTTTCATAGTGGCTAGAAGCTCCCTCCTCTGGCTAAGGCAAAGATGGTGAAACTTTTTCAGGCCAATGGCCAAATTTAGTTTTGCAGACGTTCTTCATGGCTAAATTCCAGTGGTGGGTGTGGCTGAAGCAAAAGCTGGCATGGCTAAAACTACCACAGATATAAAAAACTCAAGCATATTGTAGCTTAAAACTGTTCCTACCAGTAGTTAAGCTTTAGGAGAGGCATTTTCATTTTACAAAATGAGCAGAAACCAACAGAAAAGCAGAAAATTGTCCCACACTAAACCTTGAGAGAAAGGGGGCGGGGCAGGGAAAGGGGCAGGGCCATCTGGGAACCCTCACGAGTGGGATTTGGCTTGAGGTTTAACATCCTTGTCAGAGGCTCTCTCCTGAAGCTGTGCTTTTCTGGACAGGGTGGCATAATAGGGATCAAGATTGGGTGGGTCTGTGACCTGGACCACTCCTGGGAGCACTGCATCCCCCGCTATTCCTTTAACCGGCTTGACAGTGTCTCCGAGAAGAGCAAAGTCTCCCGTGGATACAACTTCAGGCAAGTCTGATGTTGCAGTTCTAAATCAAAGCGAGACCCAGAAGCCCCTCTTTCTGTTGTCCTCCTGGGTAAGCTCAGATCCTTCCCCGTGCTTTTCAGCCTCACTCTGGCTTGCAGCCATGGCACCCCTTCCACTCGCATGCCCCCCTCCAGCTGCATAGCAGGTGCTCCAGAGACCTCTCCTTAAAACGGGCGCTACCAGCCCCAACTCATCCCATGCAAAAGATTTGTCTGGGAGGTGCCCACACACATGCATTCCTGCTTGGCCATCCAGACGTGGGGTGGTAGGTCTGCGGCACAGCACCTGCTCAGCATGCAGGAGTCCCCAGCTCCATCCCTGCCACCTGCCATTCCATGGCCAGATCGTGCGTGTTAAGAGCCACCTTCCCCTGAAGCGCTGCTGCCCATCAGTGGTGGGCTAGATGGACCTGGGGCTGCTTCTGGATAAGGCAGCTTCCTTGCTGTGCACCACTGTGCTCAGGCTCCCGGATTGCCCCTGCGCTTCCATCTGCAAGTGGTCCTGCACAGGGGTGCCCCACTTCTGGCACACGGCTGCCAGCTCTCCTCTTGCACCACCACATCAAAGAAAGAGAATGCGTCTCCCTAGGGCATAAATATCACCCTTACCTTTATGTGGCACAGTGAATATTTGCATGCGACCACATTTTGCCATCAGAATAAACAAATCGTGGTGTGTGTGTGTGTGTGTCGGTGTGCATGCGCACACACTTTCCCCTGGCCCACAGGTATGCCAAGTACTACAAGCAAGCGAATGGCACAGAGTTCCGCACGCTGATCAAGGCCTACGGCATCCGCTTTGATGTCCTGGTTTATGGGAATGTGAGTGGACTGATGGCTGCTAAAATCTGGTGGGAGAAAATTGGATTTTAAAGAGGGGATTAGAGAATATCTAGAGCAGCCTTCCCCCACAGGGTGCCCCCGCAAGGTGTTGGAGCACAACTCCCATCATCCCCTGCCAGACAGTGGCCAGCACAACTGAAGGGTGCCAGATGGGAAAGGGCTGTTCTAGGGCAAGAGCACAGGTGAGCCACAGGCTCCCTGCGGCAGACCTGCACACACCCAAAAGCACCACGGGCAAAGGTGGTGGGGCCCTCCTTTTCCCACCTGCGGAGGGAGTGGGGCCCTCCTTTTGCCCCCTGTGGGCAGGAACACATGGAGAGGCCTTCCGTGGGTGTTAGTAGAGCTCAGGTGCCCCTGAAATTGAGGCCCACTGATTGCAGTGGCAATGATGTGCAGGTAACAGGGTGCAATTCTCTGCGTGGGCATGCTGGGGAGTGTCTGACTTTTTAAATGTCCAAACATACATAGGATTGCACCCGCGGCCTGCATTCAGCCCCTTGTTTCTGAACGAACAGAAGTTACCCACCAATTCCAGTGACCGAGGCAAGGGATGAAAAAGGCTCCATTGCAACTACAGATTGTGCCACTGTAGCAAAAGCAGTGGTGTGGTCCCAGTCCATAATATGTTCTCGATATAGGCTGGAGCTCCACATTGGGTTTTTGTTTCTGGGTTTTGGGGGGGGGGGTTTGCTGGAAATTGTACCATCATGTGAAGCCATGTTCTGAATCGGAAGATATTAAGAACTAGGAGCCCACAGCTGTTCTGTCTTGCAATGGAGCCTCCAGAGTTGCTATTCCACTTCTGGGGAGAAAAAACAAGCCGGAGAAAGTGCTTTGCTGCAGAAACCCAGCATGGGGCTCTCTTCTGGACCTTGAGCATAAGGGCCCTGTTGCCACTCTTTCTCAAAACCAGAAGTGGCCAGGTTGAACATTCAGATGAGAACAGTTGTCTACTGTTAACATGTAGTCTTGCTTTCCTACATTCAAACAACCTGGTGTACTATACTGGGCTAATAATCAGATATTGTGGCTTTATACAAGGCTTATCCAAATCTTGGAAGATCAAAACCAAGTATATTAAATGCCCATTTGAGGGAGGGGGGAAGAATAATTTTGGGGCGGCTACTAACCAGGGAAGCAGCTAAGGATGTAAATCTAATATAATTCTTTACGCATGTGTTAGGTTTATGTTCTGCCTTTTTCCCTTCAAGGAGCCCAAAGCTCCTTACATAATCCTCTCCTCAGTCTTATCCTACAACAGCCTTGTGAGGTGGGTTAGGGTGAGAGTCAGCGACTGGCCCAAAGTCACCCAGTGAGCTTTGTGGCCAAACAGGGACTAAAACCCTGATCTCCCAAATCCCAGTCCAACACTCTACCTGTATAAAGATACCCTTACGTTCCCTTGGTTTTTCTACCTACTTATTCAGGTCTCTGACCCTCCTGCAGGGTAACAGGCGTGTGCACAGCGGCCACAACTTTGCTAACCTCTCACTGACTCCATCCAGGAGAAGTAAACGCTCCTAAATCAATTGAGTGTACAGAGTGAGGTTAACTTTCTGTGAAGTCTCACATTGTGATGTTACTACTGAGGAATGATGGGCTGTTTGACAAGCAAGCTGACAAAGCGTGCTCACAGCAAACACAGTAGCACAGAATGGTTTTAAAATCAGTTTTTATGATCCATGCCTGTAACCATTCCACAGAGAGCCACAAACTGTAAAGGAGCAGATAGATCTCTGAGTGGCCAGGGAACCCATTTCTTAACAGAAAGAAAGAGACATAATTTTTTGTTCCCATCTGTGCCAGCCCCTGCTTGTCTGGAGAGAAACTGTTTATCTATGCTAACGCTGCCTTGTGTTCCCTCAGGCTGGGAAGTTTAATATCATTCCGACCCTCATCAATACTGTGGCAGCCTTCACATCTGTGGGGGTGGTAAGTATTCAGCTTTGCCTGAGGGCTCCCCAGCCACCGGCCACCTCCCCCTTTTGTTCTTTATTCCACAGGCCTGGCCAGGTCCTGGAGAGAGTGGCCCAGGGCTGGATTCATCCATCCACACAAGAGCAGTTGATGCTCCTTTGGCAGGAGGTCTGAATGCCATTTTGGAGAACTTGGGGGGGGGGCAGATGGGGGGGATGTGCCCCAGCTACCTCAAGGGCATTGTTACCCCAAGCAGTCTGTAGGGCTCCTTTAAGAAGTGCACCCAAGGAAAATAGGACTCCTTAGGGGGAAGGGAGCCTCCTCTGAGCCCTGGGTGCTGCTCAGGTTTTGGCGATCTGAGCCAGCAGCTTTGCTGGAAATAATGTCTCCTCCCAGATGAAGTGCCTTGGTCTTTAAGCTTTGTTCTACTGCTTGTTTCCACATTATGGATAGCCAACTTCTGATCTGTAATTTGATCTTTACTGCTCTTCAGACCCTGTAGAGCTGCGACTTTGGCTGCTGCTTTCTACTGACTTGCCTTTAGCTCATCTCTTACTTTAGCCAAACACTGAGCCTGATCCAGCCCTAGCAGGACAGCATGTCACCTGTCACTACAGCAAAATTATGGAATTGCTATTTAAATTATCATAATTCTCAATTTGCAGCCATTACGTATCAAGCAGCATATGAAAATTACATGTAAAGTGCCCTATTGTTCCCCTTTGAGATGTATTTCCTCTTTCACTGCAGTGTGTAAGTGGCTACCCTATAGTACGTCTACTTGGAACAAGGTTTCTTCAAGCATAGGAGGAGAAGATAATGTTTTCGATAACATCTAGAACATTCCTTACCAAGAATTTGAGTACACTGGCTGGGTCTTAGGTTTTAGGGAGCTCAAATGAGTCAAGGATTCAAGTCCTGTTTTGGGCAGGGAGCTTTTTTTAAAATCTGAAAATGTTGTTTGCTGTTCCATCAGCAAATTAGGTCCTCAGTTACTCCTGGGGTATCACATTGCTTGCCCGCTCCTCAAGAACGAGAACCTTCTCACCTGTCCTCTTCTCCCCTTAGGGGACAGTTCTGTGTGACATCATTCTCCTCAACTTCCTGAAGGGAGCAGATCAGTACAAGGCTAAGAAATTTGAAGAGGTGAGTCTGTACACACGACACAGCAAGGCTCCCTGTTCCACCTCTGCCAGCAAGGAGCATCTGTTTTCTGTGCTGCCGCTGTTGCTGCTGTGACCCGTTAGCTCAGGCTGAGCTCAGCCGTGTCAATGGTCGAAGACCGACAGTATAAACCTGGGTGTCAAACCTCTTTAAGTCCAGTACCCAAATTCAATTTGCACAGAACAGCAAACCATGTTAAGCATTAATTCCAAGAACAAAGCGGCATTTTCCAATTGCCTGGCAAATCGAAATTCCTTCAAAAGACACTTTGTTTGGAAAATTCTCCCTGCGGACATAAACGCTTTCAGAAGTAATAATCAAAAATCCTTGCTAAAAGGCTGTCTCTTCACTTCTCCTCCGTGCCAAGTCTTGGTGCCGAACAAATAAAGTATTTGGAGAGGAGGTATAAAAGCAGGGTAGAATGGAGTAAACATTCACAAAGTAAGTATTCTGCATAGCTTATGTTTACTAAAAGCACAGAATATGAGGGTTTGCTTGGTCATGATTTGGATTCTGGGGGCAGAGGCTGCACTAAGAAAGCATAATGAGTAGGCCTCCAGCAATGGCTAGTTTCAGGCTAGGACAGGCAGACTCCAGTCCTTCTTCAGCCATGACAAGGACAGGATGCATTTGGGCCAGTCGTTCTCCCTCAGCCAAGTCTGCCTCACAGGGTTGTTATGAGGGGGAAGAGGAAGACCCAGTATACCACCCTGAGATCCTTGGAGGAAAGGTGAGACATGTCGTAAGTATGCAGTGTGAGGCAATGCGGCATAGTGGTTAAGGCATTGGACTTGGGGGACCCAGGAGATCTGGATTCTAGTCCCCACTCTACCATGAAGCTCACTGGGTAACCTTGGGCCAGTCGTAGACTCTCAGCCTAACCTACCTCACAAGGCTGTTGTAAGGATAAAGTGGAGTAGGGGAGGACCACATAAGCTGCCTTGGGTTCCTTTCATGAGGAGGAAAGGGGGCAGGATATAAATGTAATAATAAATTAATGGCAGGACGACATGCTGTTAGTACATAGTCTACAGAAGGTATTATGAAAAGAAAGGTCCAGAATATGACCTTTTCTTCCTGGTTTTCCTGTTCTTCTCCTGACCAGGTGTCAGAGACAGTGTTGCACCCAGACACTCCCAGCAACCCTATGTACCGGAGCAACCAGACACTGGGAGACCGTTGTGAAGAGAAGCAGTCAACAGATTCAGGGGCCTTCTCCATCGGGCTCTGAGAAATAAACCTGAAAGAAGACATTAAAGCAGCTTCTACATAGCTTTTCTGTCTGGACCCTCCAGTCACAGTCTACTGATGAGGGAACTGGTTGGGGTTTTTTGGGTGCCATCATTCTTCCCATTTAATTCTCCCTTACATTTTTCATCAGGAACGTATCAAGCCCCCCTCTTCTGGGAAGCTTTCAAGTCTTACCGAGTCAAAGGATCAATTCCTGCTCCTCATTTTTGGGAAAAAGGCCTCAACGAAAATATTACCTAGTAAAAGAGAGATTGATGGATCCCCAACGTCAGACTGCTGATGTGGAGGAAAAAAGGGTCATCTGGGTCAAGCTCTATGAGGGGGTCAATTAAATAGAAACCTAAGAATTGAAAAGAGTGCCCCTTTCATCAAAAGCATCTCAGATGCCTAAATCAGGAATAGGAATCTTAAGCCCATGGGAGTTTCTCATCTAGCCAGGAGCATCTTCCCCACAGTACCAAGGGAAAAGCTCTGATCAGCTGCTGACCAGGATAAGAACGTTTCCCTGTTGGGTTGAATGAGGGAGCCAGGCAAAGAAGCTGGCAAGCAACTCCTCTCTGCTTGCATCAGGGTCGACAAGGTGTTCATTCGCACTTTAGAGTAGCCATAAAGACGGTTAGCCTTTGGGGTACTATCTGAACTACTGTTGAGCGATTCAGTCCCATCTCCTCCTCACTTGTGTGTCAGATGCTTGGGGTGCCTATTTCTGAGTAGAGATGCTGCTCTTGATTATTTCTGAGTAAACGTTTTCTCTTATTAGTGAGAAACAATGGAATTTGTGGGTAGGTTGGATTTTTCAGCCCTGTACATATCTGCCTTTGGGCCCATATGCCATTGGTGCTTAAATTAAAAGCTTCTCTGAAGTGGAATCCAGACTTCGGATGAAAATGCATCCCCCACCTGCTAGCAGTGGGGCTGCTGCTGCTATAGCTGTTGCTCACACCCCACAAGTGTCGCCTCCAGTTTTACCATGTGGCAATATTGCCACTATATAGAGCACAGAGTTGTTGGTGAAGGGAGCTTTATCTTCTCCTTGCTTTTTGAACTGGCAGGCTGTCATCCACAACAGAGGGGCCCTTTTTGCTCTAGGGGCTGGCTGATATCAAGTGGTCCTCCCTGCAAATCTTGCCCATCCCATGATGCCATGATGTTGGGTGCTATGGCACCCACCTTTTCCCCATGCAGGCAGGGGGACGGAGTTCCGGCGAAGCGGGGTGGGGAATCTTCAGCTTCTCTCCAATCCAGAGTAATGCTTAACTGCTGAACCTCCCTTACAACAGGTTCCACACAGGCACAGAGCCCACTTGTGTGATGCACAGAGACCACAACAGGTTTCTCCTTTGTGCTGCTCACCCTCAGATGGAGGATGAGCAATGAATTGGGAATCTCCACATTATTTCCAACCGGAGACGCCATGAGGATTCTTTTCTCCAAGGACTGGAAAGCAGGGATACGTGGCGGATGCTCAACCCTCCGTCCCTGAGCTGCATTGGGCCCCAGTGGAGGCCACATGAGGCCCGCAGACTACAGGTTGCTCTCCCCTGCCTTAGGCAAGGGGGTGAACATTTCTGGAGAAAAATAAAATGCTATGTGTAATACAGCAGATGTGGAAGTCTTAGAACATTGCCAGGCATTTTGGCTTCATTCTCCTGTGTCAATGCTCAGGACTTAAGCTGCTGAGAGCTGTGTGCATGTCCCCCACTGGGCACGAGGCCACGCAAGCATCGTCACCAGTGCCCGGTTGCAACATTCAAAAACAGGCTTGCACGTGCAGTCCCGAAAGATAGCCTGAAAACTCCGCATGAAGCCATGAAAAGATAGCCATTGCTGCCTTCTTTAACCATGTTGCTCACATGTTCGGCAGGGATGGTCCCTGCTGGAAATAAGGTGTGTTCTCCTGTCTTCTGGAGTCCTCCGGGCAGTCCTTTAGCTACTAGCTTCTTTCTTTATGAGAGGCAAGCATAGGCGGATTTCAGATAGAACAAATGAAGCATGGCTGGTATTACTCAGAGGGCAATATTACAAAAGAGGAAATTATACATACTATTTCACACTGCTGGCACAAGCTTATATGGTCCATAGTCAGCTTCAGGTTACATAACAACATTGCACAGTATCCTTGCAGGACACAACCACTCATTCAGAAAACAGTAATTACAAATACTCTCAATTAGTTAACATGTTCCCAAGTGACAAGTGTGTTAATCAAACTGTCATTAAATTAAAACAACACTTCAAGATGCCTCTTACCTAGCAGTCATCATTATTTTTTCCAGTAGTCATTTCTACATTCAGTGCTTTTGAGGAAATTTTCCTGTTCATAAACAGTTTCACCACTTCTGGTTAGGATAGTAGCTTTTGCAAGAACAGTCTGAATAATACTTTTTCAGCACAGAGTAAGAGCTGGATGAATTGATGCAACCTTCAGCTTAAATAACCACTGACTATAAGACAACACTAGAACTTGCATGCTTGACAGAAATCAAAAGTATTCTGTAAACCTTCCCGACATAAAGTCAGGGAATCACACAAGCCTTTAATAGCAAATAAAAGAAATGTATGTACAAAGATATAAATCCAAATATAAATCTTACAGGTAACTCAGTTCCATCCCCTGTCTTATATTCAAACCACCCCTTCTAGTAGCAGTAATATATTGGGTATTGGAATGTACACACACAAATTAGGTCAGGGTTAATAATGAAAGAGCTTAAATTTGCTTTGCTGCTGCTGTTGTTTAAAATAAAAGTCCTGTGGAACTTGATAAACATGTATTGTGGCATGGCATTTCTTTGTTGCTATTTGCTTCATCTTTTTTGGATGTATCCCAACAACAACAGTTTAAAGTAAATATATATTCTACCTCCCCTACGGTGAACTGGCGAGGTGAGACCAAGAAGTGAGGCTAAAATTATGTAATTTATACCAAGGCAAAACTGAACCAGTGATTTTATCATGGGGATTCATAAACCAACATTGAAACCAAGGCTAATTTAAAGGTCAGGTATGAAAACATCTGCCTGGCCTACTGCTATCAGTGTTTCCTGAGAATTAAATCCCACTAATTTCACTGAGACTGACCACCCAAGTAAAATTGCAGTTATACACATACCTGGGAGTAAGCCTGAAGGAAACAGAACTTCCTTCCAAGAAAGCATTCTGAGGACCAGACTGCACATATGGGTAGGCCTGCTGCCTTAGACAGGTGGATGGTGTGGGCAGGTGGGGGGAACAGTATCAGGAAACTAAGAGTGCTCCCAGATAAGGTTTTTATTGAACAATCATTCTGCCTTATTCACAAAATGTACTGGGGCTCCAAATGACACAGTAGTAACTTAGGGCTTTTAAACCACAGAAAATCTGTTGTGGGTTGCATAGAATAGCTGCATAACATCTTTTGACAGGTAGCACTAAAACTGTCTGCTGGGAAGCTGTCTAGGTCAGTGGGAAGGAGCTTTCTGGGGCACTCATATGGACAAAGAAAGAGCTTTCCATTCAGGCAGAGGTCATAAATCCTCCACTTCTGACAGCTGGGAAATGAAGACATGTTCACTGCAGTGCCAGTCGTCCTCCATTCACCTGAAAGTACTGAGATGCCCAGCATGCTGCATTTTAACACTATCTGTTGCTCCTCTTGCTCCATGCAGGCCTCCTGCTTTACTCCTTGTCTGGTAGAGGTGACTCGCACCATCAAGTTATTCATGTTCGTGCTTGCGATGGGCACACATAGATTGTGGCATTTTTCATAAGGTTTTCACCTAGAATTGTAAACTTGGCACACCGTAGGCCAACCAGTCTAGCCTCCTGCTCTGTGCCGAAGCTGGGGTTGGCGTCCTGATAAGAATGACTAGGTTAAAAACTGGCTATGAGGTTGTCTAAACCAGGGTGGGCAGAAAGTAGGTCTCCAAATGTTTTACACTTCAGTTCCTAGTATTCATAAGCAGAGCACTGCACCTTCCTGACAGGGATTTCAAAAAAGGGGGGGTAGAATCCCCTTTCAATTGGCCAAAGAGGCTGAATCCCCTCTCCAGTGATGATTAGGAAAAACCACTGTTCTCGCAGTCAAGCGTAGCTGATACAGGAGCAACGCTAGCACAGTTCCAGGACTCAGCAATGGACCGCAGTGTTTCTCCTTTCTGTGCCCTGGTAACAGAGCTTGGCTGCAAAGCAGGAGTACTGGACTCCTTCCAGCCAAAGGGCCCAATTCTATTCCAGAGAAGTTCTGGGGGGCAGGTGCAGTTCAACAGTGAGTGGGGATTAAAGCAAAAAGGGTGAGGCAAAATATTTAAATGTCACTGTATTGTAGCTTAAAATTCTCAGGAGAGGCAATTCAAGCTTTTGGAATGAGGGTAATGGCTGGACAATGCCTGGAAACCTACCAGATGGCTGGTGGTCTGGCACATCCTCGCTTGGGGAATGCTGGAATGATGCAGTTGGCTTCCAGCCGGAGCTTCTGCATCCCAGCTGTAAAGGGGGAAACGAACCAAGCACTGAAGAGAGGGAGGCAAAAGAGGGCCTGCATTCCCAGGCACAGGGCAGCAGGCTCTTTGGTTCTGGTAAGCACAGTTTGGATCTCTGTTCAATTCAAATTTTAATTAACCCTGGACCTCTGTAATTCCCACCACTTAAAAACACTCCCAGGTCCCCTCCTTCCTGTAATGATAGTTTCCATTAGCAAAACTGGTATTTATTTCCACAACTGGTGATTTTAATTAAAAACACTTATTAAAAGCATTGTAATAGTTTAAAAGCTTCCCCTAATACTAAACAGTTTTTTCTGCTTAATGTTCTGGTATAGACTTTGGTTCTTGAAAATCAACATTAACATGTATTTTCAAAAATCCAAAACCATGGTTTCACAATTTAAAAAATTAATGGGTAGATAGAAATGCCATCCACATACAAAAATACATTTTTCTGACATATTAAACTCTGTAATTGGTGAATTTCAAGCTACTTGTAGTACTGACACTTTTATATAATCCACAAAAATATATCTCTGGAAAAGAATGCAGAAGTCAGTAAACTATAGCCAAATGCCACATATCAAAAGAAAACTATATGCATTTAATTCCTAAAAAAATAATGCTATTTGAAAAGAGGGAGCAACAAACAAACTGGTCTGGAAGAAACAGGGTTATAATCTGAGCTATAGATAGAAAAGCACATCTGTGGCAGTGAGTGAACTGACTGGGGAAATTATGCCTGATTATGTTGGACTGTGGCTATGAGCAGAATCCAGTGAGTGCCGACAATCCCATTGCTGATTCCGTTGCACAAACAGGTCCCCACACTTGCAAAACTGAGATTTAGCACTTCGCAGGGGAAGCCCTGAAATGAGGGGAAATGCACTTCTCAACAGGGACAGGTCAGCGCTGCTCCCAGTTACAAGCTCTACAAACCTGCCCCACTCCAGAAATGAGCATTTTCACTCATTTCCACTTGCCCAGGAAGCATTAAATCTTTGTCCTTAATGCAGAGGGTAGTACTTGTGGGTGGGAGTTGGTGGGGCGCACGAGAATTGATGGAGCTATGAAGAGCCCAATCGGTTTTCCTGGGAGCAAAGCTCAGTGAGGCAAGACTTATTTTCACAGCTTACTCTTCAATTCTCTTTTCATGTCTTCTCAAGCTTCCCTTTTGTTCGGAGAGGATCCCAAAGTCTATACAGCAAAGGGCTCAGATGGAGGACTCCCCGCCTGGCTTTCCTGTAGCCAGGACTGTGTTGCCTGTGCTGCGTGCTGCAGCTTGCTTCTTCTCTAGCCGCTTGCACTCCCGCCATACTGTCCAGGGGCTGACCAAAGCCAGCAGCATTAAGAATATGAAGCCAATGTTCACCTGAAAGAAGGGACAGAAAATAATGCAAAGACTGCAACCAACAAACCTGCTTTGTAAAGGGAACTTGCTGCCAGATGCTCCAGAGCTTAAGCAGGAAAGCAAAAGTAAGAGAGATGCCACTTGCCAAAAATCCACTCATCCCCAGGGCAATTAAGGATCCTGGACCCATGTCCACCTTTATACCTGATTGCCCCAATTGAATGCACAGCCCCAAAATTGTCCAAACTGACCCAATGGCTCCAGGACAATTTGAAGTTGCCTGGTTCCAAGCCTGGTATTCTCTGTTACGTGACAGTATTGTGCAAAGAACAGACCCCTTCTTGGGGTACTGGCTGCCCCACAGCAAACAAGAGACACTGAGATACTGAATACTCACATAAAAGGGATCCCCCTTGAATGGGCCCTTGATGAGTGCAAAGCAGGGATACTGCAGGAGGGACACCACTGCTGAGAGTCCCATCACTAGACCATAGAGCTTCCCAAAATGCTCCATGGGAAACCTGCCAAAACACAGAACACACAAGAGAGCGGCTCATGAGAAAAGGGTCATGGCATTTCTTAGTGGCCTCTCCTCCACAATTATGACTTGCCACTGCTCTGCTTCTTCTCCACCTCCCTTCTCGACATTCAGCTGCCTGTGTCCCTTTCCTTCCTCATCATCAGGACAAAGGACAGTGCTTGTCACATCTCTGGTAAGGTCTGCAGCACATTTATCTGCAGTATTTGCATCAATATTTCATGGTTTCCACAATCCAGGGGTAACAGAGGAGAACGGCATCTTAGCATTCAACAGATTCAATTCCCAGATTTGCTTAAGGAAGGATATGTGCTCAAACTCAACCTGGGAATGCATGTCTGTATTTATTCAGTCACCTGCACAATAAGAAAACCACCAGCAGGTCTGCAAACAGATAAAGCCCTATTCTCATATCAGCTTTCTATGGTACGTTAGGCCAAGCACGACAGTCACTCCCCCACAGTGCTGCCAACATAGCCGGACTGACAAGCAGAAGCACTGAGAATCCAAATCATCCAATCCAGCCCATGGAGTCCAGCTTTAGAAGGGTCTCTTAGCAGGGTTCTGGAAGCTCAGAAAACAGCAACTGTGTAAACTGCTTCTGAAGCCACATTCTGCAGCCTGCACTGAAGTCTATGAAATAAATAAAGGGGCAGCAAGAGTAGTTTGACTATTTCTATTTAAAAAAAAACAAACCAAAACCAAAACACCAATGCCAAGAAAGATCCTGAGTAGGGATTTCCACGCATGCTAGGGGAATGATTCATTTATATTCAGTCAAAGCATTCAGAACCCTGGACCCCCAGGGGTCTGAGTATCACAGAACGCTAGCTACCAAAACACTTCTCTCTTTCATCCACCCCCTTCAATCCCTCTCACTCTAAGGGAGGCAGAAGGCATATTCTGGAGAAGGCCATTTGCTGAGTGGCAACACATCTATTTTGCAGGCAGAAGATGCCAGGCTCAGTCTTGGCTTCATGGGTTGGGCTCCTGCCTGAAACTCTGGAGAGCTGCCATGAACCAGCATCAGTGGAAGTGGACTAGAGGGACCAAGGGTCTGAACCTGCCATTCCCAAGCCACCCCAAGAGACCAGTCACTTACGCAATAGCCAAGAAGGCAGCATTGCCGCCATAGAGGAAGGAGCGGCTCAGAACCTGCATGATGAAGGTGGCATACTGCACAGGGAGCACTGGGATGGAGGCACAGATTGAGAAGACCATGCACTGCAATACCGTGACGGTCAGCGATAGCACACAGGAACGCAGGTCTGCGAGAGAATCTGACACCCCTGCGATGAGAGAGAGAATGCAGCCAGAGAAACCAATCCATACCGAAATATCAGAGGGAGTCCAAGGAACTCAACATCCCTTAAGAGGGAAGGAGGCATCCACATCTTGTAAAGGTCATACCTTGGGAACTCTCCTCCTTTTTCTGCCTTCGTTTATGACGGTCAAGAATAAGCCCATTCCAAGGGGCACAAAGAATTCCGCACAGCTGGGTTAAGGCAAAAGCATTGGTGTAGACACTCACTGTTGGCAGAGGAAAAAAGAATTCAAGACACAAACAGATCTTCTGCAGTAGCACAAGCCTTTTCCTAAGTTTTCCGTGGCTATAACCCATACTAGATGTTAAGTCCAGGAAGACTTTGCTCTCCAGAGGTTCCAGGGATGAAGCAATCTCTATTTCTGGGCATTAACTTCTCTGGGTTGCTTCCAGCATCCATGGCACAAGGAGAGGCACTTCCCCGTAGCTACCAGAGCAGAAACAAGCAGCAGAATTCTGTCACCACTTACACCCCAGATTTTGCAATGACACCATTCAAATTTTACCACAGCAGCTTAGTTCATTTTAGAACATACCACCCTCTCAAGCCATTCTTGGCTACACTCCAGCACTCAAGGAAAATAGCAATTCCGCGGAGAGAAGGTACGTATTTCCTGAGGAGAAATAGCCTTTCTCTCCTGGCAAAAGGGCCACGGTCCCCAAACCATGAGAGCAAACACAGAGGTGAGCCTCAAAATGGCAATGAAAAAGAATGTGGGCAACTTTTTCTTTAAAGCAATGCCTTTGCTTTTCAGTTGAAACCTTCCTCAGAGACATAACATGAACTTAGTATTACTCCTAGCAAGGCAACATCTCTCACAGCTCATTCCTTCTTCTCTGGGTTCTTCTACTCTAATCAGTTTCTCCCAGTAACTCCAGTCCATCTCCACATGCATCTTTCTTCATGTTTGCTTCTCACATATCCTAAATCTTTAGCCCCCAGTTGTGGCCGTGAGGATTCCATTCTCTCTTGCAAAGGAGATATTCTGTTAGCCACCACCTGAATGTTGCCCCCCCCCCCCAATCTCCTGGGTTCCCTCAGTACCAAGAGAGGAGTCTCCGTCCGCCAACTGTGTCAGCATGGGGTTGAGGATGCTGATGAAGAGGTAGTGGCGCAGCTGCATCACTGACAGCCACATCAGATGCCAGAAGAACATCCTGGAGAAGACACAGCTCCGGAAGGATTTAACAGCTGCTGGCTTCAGATTTGGTGTGGTCTCAGTATCATCTTTTAAAAAGAGAGAAGAGAGGCAGAAGATGCAGTATGTAGTATCAAGACTGAATTGATCTTTATGCCACAGAGACAAGATCTGTGCACATTAATACTTTGCTAGTGTTTCATTGCTGACACTACCAGTGCAAAAGAAAGCTTTCTAAGCATAAGTCAGATACACATGTGCTGGACCAGTTTTATCACCACTTGAAAAGGGGTGGTGGTGTTCAGCATATAGAGACCTAGAGAATAATTCTTTCTGACTAGCACAGGAAAAGAACAGTTATGTGAAACACATTCTAGTATATGGTTTACATTTGCACAGTAGTGATGTGATACTAAATGTGATTAAATTCTTGCAGGAATGTTAGACAGTAATTCACACTTCCTGGGGGAACCACAAAGAGTAAGCAATTATGACATCTGGATTAAACCTGCCTACTTCTGCCCACCCCCCTTCATGGATCACTGCCTTGCCACTGTGAAGGGGCTTGTGTAGAGCAATGAAGCTATGAGCTAAGCTGCACAGGGGCACCCAAGATGGTCAGGTCAAAGCCTCTGATAAAATGTGATCCGCTGGAGAAGGAAATGGCAAGCCACTCCAGTATCCTTGCCATGAAAACCCCATGGAGAGTACCAAAAGGCAAAGGGATATGATGCCAAACGATGAGCCCCTCAGGTTGGATGGTGTCCAATGTGCTACTGCGGAAGAGCAGAGGGCTCATCCTAGCAATGGCAGAAAGAATGAAGTGACTGGGTCAAAGCCAAAAGGACACTCAGTTGCGGATGTATCTGGTGCTGAAAGGAAAGTCCGATGCTGTAAGGAGCAATACTGCATAGGAACTTAGAATGTAAGTTCTATGAACCAAGGTAAGCTGGACATGGTCAAACATGAGATGACAAGACTGAACATCGACATCTTAGGAATCAGTAAACTAACATGGACAGGAATGGGTGAATTTATTTCAGATGACCATCAGGTATACTACTGCGGGCAAGAATCCCTCAGAAGAAATGGAGTAGCCGTCATAGTCAATAAAAGAGTAGGAAAAGCAGTACTGGGATACAATCTCCAAAATGACAGAATGATCTCAGTTCGAATCCAAGGCAAACCATTCAACATCACAGAAGTCCAAATTTATGCCCCATCCACTGGTGCTGAAGAGGCTGAAGTTGACCCATTCTCTGAAGGCCTACAACACCTTCTAGAAATAACAGCAGAAAATGATGTCCTTATCATCATGGAGGATTGGAATGCTAAAGTAGGAAGCCAAAAGATAACTGGAATAACAGACAAGTTTGGCCTAGGAGTACAAAATGAAGCAGGGCAAAGGCTGGCAGAATTTTGTCAAGAGAACATGCTGGTCATAGCAAACACTCTTTTCCACCAACCCAAGAGATGACTCTACACATGGGCACCACCAGATGGTCAACACAGAAATCAGATTGACTATGTGCTCTGCAGAGAAAGATGGAGAAGCTCTATACAGTCAGTAAAAACAAGACCAGGAGCTGACTGTGGCTCAGATCATGAGCTTCTTCTTGCAAAATTTAGGCTTAAATTGAAGAAAGTAGGGAAAAGCACTAGGCCACTCAGGTATGACCTAAATCATATTCCATATAAATATACAATAGAGGTGACAAATAGATTTAAGGAATTAGATCTGATAGACAGAGTGCCTGAAGAACTATGGAGGGAGGTTTGCAACATTGTACAAGAGGTAGCAAATAAAAACATCCCAAAGAAAAAGAAATGCAAGAAAGCAAAATGGCAGTCTGAGGAAGCTTTTCAAATAGCTGAGGAAAGAAGGGAAGCGAAAGGCAAGGGAGAAAGAGATACACCCAACTGAATGCAGAATTCCAGAGAATAGCTAGAAGAGATAAGAAGGTCTTCTTAAATGAACAGTGTGAAGAAATTGAAGAAAACAATAGAATAGGAAAGACTAGAGATCTCTTAAAGAAAATTGGAGATAGGAAGGGAAAGTTTCATGCAAAGATTGGCATGATAAAGGACAAAAATGGCAGGGACCTAACAGAGGCAGAGGAGATTAAGAAGACATGGAAAGATTACACAGAAGAGCTATACAAGAAAGACCTTAACGTTTCCGATAATCACGATGGGGTGGTCGCTGACCTCGAGCGAGACATCCTGGAATGTGAAGTCAAAAGGGTCTTAGGAAGTCTTAGCAACAACAAAGCTAGTGGAGGAGACAGTATTCCAGCTGAGCTATTCAAAATCCTGAGAGACGATGCAGGGAAGGTGCTACATTCAATATGCCAGCAAATTTGGAAAACTCAACAGTGGCCACAGGATTGAAAAAGGTCAGTTTACATTCCGATCCCAAAGAAGGGCAATGCCAAAGAATGTTCAAACTACCGCACCACTGCACTCATTTCACATGCTAGCAAAGTTATGCTCAAAATCCTACAAGCTAGTATGTGGACTGAGAACTAACAGATGTACAGGCAGGGTTTCGAAGAGGCAGAGGAACTAGAGATCAAATTGCCAACATACGCTGGATCATGGAGAAAGCTAGGGAGTTCCAGAAAAACATCTACTTCTGTTTCATTGACTACGCTAAAGCCTTTGACTGTGTGGATCAAAACAAATTGTGGCAAATTCTTAAATTGATGGGAGTACCGGACCATCTTCTTTGTCTCTTGAGAAACCTATATGCGGGTCAAGAAGCAACAGTGAGAACTGGACACAGAACCACTGATTGGTTCAAAACTGGGAAAGGAGTTTGGCAAGGCTGTGTACTGTCATCCTGCCCATTTAACTTATATGCAGAGCACATCATGAGAAAGGTGGGGCTGGATGAATCACCAGTTGGAATTAAGATTGCCGGGAGAAATATCAACAACCTCAGATTTGCAGATGATACCACTCTAATGGCAGAAAGTGAAGAGGAACCAAAGAGCCTCTTGATGCGGGTGAAAGAGGACAGCACAAAAGTTGGCTTGAAACTCAACTTTAGGAAAACTAAGATCATGGCATCCGGTTCTCTCACTTCCTGGCAAATAGATGGGGAAGAAATGGAGGTAGTGACAGATTTTATTTTCCTGGGCTGCAAGATCACTGCAGACGGGAACTGCAGTCAAGAAATTAAAAGACACTTGCTCCTGGGGAGGAAAGCTATGGCAAATCTAGACAGCATACAAAAAAGCAGAGGCATCACCCTGCCAACAAAAGTGTGTGTAGTCAAAGCTCTGGTTTTCCCAGTTGCAATGTATGGCTGTGAAAGCTAGACCATAAGGAAGGCTGAGCACCGAAGGTTTGAGGCCTTTGAACTGTGGTCCTGGAGAAGACTCCTGTGAGTTCCTTGGACTTCAAGGAGATCAAACCAGTCAGTCTTAGAAGAGATCAACCCTGACTGCTCTTTAGAAGGCCAGATACTGAAGATGAGACTCAAATACTTTGGCCACCTAATGAGAAGGAATGACTTACTGGAGAAGACTCTAATGCTGGGAACAACTGACAGCAAAAGAAGGGGACAGCAGAGGATGACATGGTTAGATGGAGACACTGAAGCAGTTGATGTGAGCATAGGTGGACTCCAGGGGATGGTGGAGGACAGGAGGAATGTTGTCCATGGGGTCATGATGGGTTGGACATGACTTCACAACTAACATAACATAACTTCTGCCTTCCTTTGGAATAGCAATTGTTGATAGTGACAGTTCAGAAGTACATGGGGCCTTATGCTCTATCTGGAATGAGAGGGTGCCTGGTTGCCTATGAATTATTGGTAGTTAGACTGTATGAAAGGCAGGTCTCAGAAGTTTATCGAAAAAGAAAGAGAATATATTCCCCACATGGCATTCCTGGCTAGTATGAAGTTCTGCCAGTGGCAATCTCTAACCAGAGATCTTGCAAACATGTTTCAGTTCCTACCTTTGCCAGAAATTGCTTTTTGGGCATCATGGTTCTCAGTGAGTGCTGAGTCACTATTATCTGAGTCCTGGACTTCATGCACATCTGGGCTTTTGGTGGAGCGTTGTTCCTCATAGGTGCGGTATGACTGGGACCTCCTCTTACAGCTCAATCTGCAAGCACAAAGAACACGGCTAGCACTTCCCCCCCAGCCCACGCACACACGCACCAGTCTTCATGTTGCATTCCCCCACATTCTGCAGACAAAGAGCTAAAGCAAAAGTTCCTCAGATTCTACACAAAATGTGCTGAGACAGACAGATGGGTACAAGACAGATGTGATTTTTCTGGCCAATGCAACATGATAGGAAAATATTAAACTATAATAACATTGCTCACAAAGCTGTCAAAAGAAATATCTAAAAAAAAAAAAAACACGCACGAGCTATACATGTATAGCCAAGCATACAAAAGAAAAAGGGGGAAGGCACAAGAAACTGGAAAACTCATCCTCAGATCAGGTTATCTTTCTCAACAGCAAATCAGATTGGTACTCTGCTTGAGTTAACTACTAATTTCCATATTTAACTCAATTTTTCCCATCAATTCTTTTTGCAGAGGTACCTCTGGAACTGTGACATTATTTACTAGCCAATTCAGGATGCAATCCTCTACCTTGGTAGAAATGAAAACTGCTAGAACTGTTGACATGGATCCACACATCTGCCTGAATTCTGAGGTTCTCCTAGGGGTGTAGTATGGGGACTGCGAACACCTGCACTTCAAAATTTACCACTGTACAACTGGATTCAAAGCATAGAGGTGACAAATTGGAAAGCAAGCAAGCAAGCAAGCAAGCAAGCAAGCAAGCAAGCAAGCAAGCAAGCATCTCATTTCAAGCATCTTCACCTCTTCAAGAACCAGCTTTTTCTCTTCAAAAACAACGGCAAGGCTACAGTTAACCTGTCCCTGTGTGTAACACAGACTGACCCTTATTCCCAACTCATGCCAAGAACCAGGTTATTAGTGATATTGCCTGAACTACAGGTATCCTGAAACAATGGATTCAAACTGGGGATCAAAGTTTCCAGAATCATTTCAGTGACAGCCACGTGATCTTCTCTTAAGCAGCAAGAATTTCTGAAGATGCTGCAACATGACACCTAAGCACTCCAAATTACATTTTTCAAAGGGGTTCCTGATGGTGTTGCTGAAAAATCACCACAAAAAAAGTTTGGGAGGGAAAGTGAACAAGAAAGGATGTGAATTTGGGGTTGCCAACTCACTCCAAAAAATGTCATGGCTACTTTAAGAGCAGGATGACATGCTAAAAAAAAGGTCGATAAAGTAAGAGCAGGAATATAAACATTATCCACTAAAAATTTTGCACACCCAGCTGCTGTTAAAAAGCACAGTGACAGTGATTGGTTGGGGTGTTGCTGACCCTCTATGAATCCCCGGGCTTATGTTCCCAACAGCTTCTTGAAGAAGCAGTCAGCAAGCAGGATTGCCTTGGGCAATAGTTGATGTCCAAGCACTAGATTAGCGTGAGGAAGGAAGAAGGTCCAGATGAGGGGCTGCAGACAGGCAAGAGACTGAGATTTTTGGAAGACAAACAGAGGAGGCAGCTGTGTACCGACAAGTACTGCTTACCCATAGGTGTACCCTGGGGGCAGTGGATACGGGATATGGTGGCGGGGCATCAGGAAGAACGTGCGGATCAAGTGCCAGACACTGCACGCAGACATGAAGAGGAACATGGATCTCAGTGAAAGGCCTTGTTCATACAGCAGCTGTGGGCGAAAAGCACAAATCTGAGCCAGTCTGCTTGTGTTTCTGCTTTTACCAGTGTGCTCCAACTGCTGATCTTCCTCAGGACCACCCCCTGTCCCCCTCCCCCCCCCAGGGGCCAGGAATGGGTTAAACTCCACCAGTTGCAATCCTGATTGCCAATTTTCCATTCCTTCCCTCCAGCAGCTGCCTTTATTCGTGCTTTTCACATGCATGCAAAATTCAAAGATGTATTCAAACTAGGGGTGTCAGAGAAATCCACAAGGGAGTCAAATGAGTTCAGAATGCCACAAATTCCATGCACAGATTCAACTGCAGACTGGATTTTCTTGAGTTGCCTAGATTGTGTAGATGTGTGGACTGATTGGTTGGTTGTACTTTCTGTACTTGTATGCAAATTGAGTCACAGGAAATAAAAACATAACCAAAAACTTCCACTGGAAATGTGTGAAAGCATGGAAGAACAGAATTTGATTTTGGAGAAGCTCTTGGGGACCTTAGTCCAGTGGTGAATCGGGCTGAAGGCAAAAGGCAAAATATACCTGAAGCATATTTTATCTTCTAATTCTTCTTGCCGGCAATTTATTTATTTAATTTATATCCCACTTTTTTTCCTTGAAGGAACTCAAGCCAGGTTACATAATCCCCTTCCTCCTCTCAATCTACTAGTCACAACAGCCCTGTGAGGTAGGTTGGGCTGAGAGTCTGTGAGCTCCATGGCTGAATGGGGACTAGCACCCAGATCTCCTGAGTCCAGGCCCTGCATTCCCCTGGCTCCCAGCTTTAGAAGAAGCGGTGGAACTCTGGAGAATCAGAAAAAAACACGCAAGGTTGGGAGGACAGCAAACAACCAGCAGTCAGGGGGAAGGGAATGGGGCCATCCAGGAAACCCCAAAGGACTGGATGTGGCCTGTGGGCCTGAAGTTCAACACCCCCATGTCCTAGGTAGTGGGCTTCATACAGGCTTCCATGGCACAGGTGCCTCTGTTCTCTGGGCCTCAGTGATTCTGTTCTGCCTCAGCAGAACCATACAACATTGTCAGCAAATCCTGCCTCACATTCGCTACGAGGAGTACAGCATGGCCACAAGGCAGCTTTTGGGAAGTGCGTCATGATTTAGGGGAGCAGCATGGTCACATAAACATACAGTGCTCTGTCGGAGCTGGAACAGAAGAGCCCTTGTGGGCTGACATCAAGTCTATGCCTTTAACCACAACTTCCCACTGAAATCACACAGGCCCGCTGCACTTTCCCTCAGCTCTCACTACTTCCCCATATTCTCTGTCATGTGGCTTGTGCATTTCACCAAAGGGTCCTGCTTGCTCCTTAGTTCCCTCACCGTATCTGGGCTGTATTTGTAAAACTGCATCCAAAAGCTTTTGCATGCTGTGAGAGAGGCAGTTTTCAGCTGTGTGCATAGGGACGATACTGTTCAGCATTCCCATAATCCAGTCAGAAATCTCTTGGGTAAATTAGGGTTGTTAGAATGGCTCAGTGGGGAAAACAAAACGAAAACAAACTCAACCAAAACATTTCAGGCAGAAGAAGGAGTCCCTGACTGAATCTTAATTGACACTTAATGACTCAGGGCCAGACTACAGGTGACACAGGCCTTCCTGGCTCTTCTCACTCCCAGTGGTTTGTTGCAATGGGAAAAGGTTGCAGCACTGTGAGTTTAAGTGGAGGATTGTGGGGCAGGAGCTCAACACTTTTCTTCCTGGTATTTACCCACTCAAAATTCATACAGATCCCCACACACAAATCCGTGTGGGTACAAATGGGTATAATTTTGCCCAAAGCAGAAAAGCAGCTACAGTGGGGACATTTTCAGTAGACACATGGCAAAGACAGAAAGGGTTGAATAAGCTTCTTTTCCTCCACCCCAAGATCGTTTGCTCAAAAGGTGGTTCTGGATGGAAAGCTCATAGTGTCTCTAGTCGAAAGACACTGTGCTGCTATTCTCTCCCCCCACCACCCCACCCCTTTATTTCTGGTAAGATGAAAAAAGGAGGAGGTGAACTGTGCTGGGAAAACATGGGAGAGTTAAAATTTGAAGAGACAGCTTGCTGCCCCCCCTATAAAATTCCATGAAAGGGGCAGAGAAAACACTCAATAAAAGCATTGTTTGGAAGTACCCAAAGTGACAGCTCCCTGAGGGGGAAAAAACAGACTGCTGGCCGAAAGACGCAGACAACTGTGGATCGTATCTTGTCTGGCCCTCAGCCTCTGCTCTGACCTAACTAGGGATCAGCAGAGGGCACCCAACTGAAACCTCGTATGGAACAGAGCCACTAAGAGGAGTGAAGGTCTGAAAATGTCCCAGGTTCACTACAAGCTGCAGACACGCTTAATTCTCCCATGTCCAATAACAAAATGGCCAACAGTTTGCTAAACTAATACTCCTGAGGGGGCATCAGTTAGCTCATCTATTGATAGTACAAGCTTCAGAGGAGGCCATTTGTTTTGTGTTTTAACTGGAAAAATGAATCTGCTCAGGATGGGGAATTACAAAATTTGCTACGCATGATCTTAGCCGTACAAGTGAAAAATCCAAATTAAGTGTCCCTGAAGTTCAGGTAAATTTGGAATCTTGGCATTTATCCTCACCATGTTTTTCTCTGTTTCTGCTTGTTCCTTCCTCTCCACTTGCTGAAATCAGGATCCCCCCTCCTGTTACATCATACACACCAGCCTTCTCCAACCTGATATGCCCCAGAACTACAACTCCCATCATTCCTTTTTTTATAATAAGTTTTATTCAAAATAACCCTAAAACAAAAGAAAACTAAAAACAACATCAATCATCAGAAACATCGGGCCTGCTGGGTCAGCTCCCACATTTTTTTCTATTTATGATAACTTAAAAACTTATTTAAATCTATTCAGAGTCGCATTTCTCTAGCCAATAATAAAAAGAATCCCAAGTTTGATAGAACATTTGATAGAAAATTCATACAGATTTCTAATTCCCATCATTCCTGACTACTGCTGCCAATGGCCATTGTCTACCCATGCTTGTATCTTGTTCCCTTAAAGTAGCCACCTGCCCTCTTCTTGACCAGCTGTTTCTTTCAAATTGGTTAGTTTCCAGTCTTAATCAGCTGCCAGTTCATCCCATTGAGTCACTGGCTGAAGAAGTACCAACTGATTAGGTGGGGCAGAAGAAAGGGGATGCTGCGGTTAGCTGCGTCCACCCTTCTCTTCCCTGCCTGAGCTGCTCATGAGATGCTTCCATGTCTGGGCTGATGACTCAGCATCACAGGGGAGCCCTCCACTGCTTTAGTGGCAAGATGAGTGTGTGTGTGTGTGTGTGTGTGGGGGGGGGGTGTTTTCAATGTATTTTGGATTGCCACGGCTCATTCACTTACATTTCACGGAGTTCAGAAATGCAGCTACTCACATTTCTACTCCTGCCCCATATTTTCCCAGAAATTGTCCTGACTTGTCTCTTAATTCAGAATCCAACAAGAAATGAAATACCAGAAAAGCAGAGCCATTTCCTTAAGGTGTGGACAATAAAATGTGTAATGGACGTTTGTGGAGGAGTTGTCCCTGGGGATTACTGATGACCTGTGGAGCTGTTCCTGCTTTACCATTTGCTTGCTGTATTTTTGTGTTGCAGAATCGTTTTGTGTCCTGTAGCTCAGTTCCATTCCCCTAATGAGATCTATCATTTTCTCTAGTATTTCTTAACATTTTGCTTTTAAAAAAAGAAGAAGTAGTGTGTGCATGAGTGAGATCAGTTTCTGGCTTTTCCAAACAGCACTGCCAGTTATATAATTAATTGTTTCCTTTGCTACTTAATTCCCAGAATACAATGCCTTTAACAGCAGCATTGAAATTGATTGTTCGCTGCTTGCTAAAAAAAGAGAAAAGTATGTTAGCAGACTTCTTGGTAAAACAGGAATTGCACAAGGGTTATGAAAGTGACAAGCTAGCAGGGAGTGGCACAAAGGCCTTCTTTCTTTTCTTTTTTACAAGGAAATTATTCCATTGTTAATGGAGGAGTCCTTTTTTTCCTTTTTTTTAGTGTATGCTTCTGGTGAAATCTGCTTCTGGCTTTTCCAAGAGCATTAGCAGCCCCCTAATTATTTCCATTATTGCAGGCATGGGGAAACTCTGGCATCCCTTGGATTCCAGCCAGGAGAGCAATATGCAGAGGAATTCCCATAGACTGGAGATCAGGCCAGCAAGCAGTACACAAAGCAAGCACCCAAACTGGTCAGTCCATTCCTCCCTGTCCTTCCCTGCATAAAGAAAAGCAAAATGGGTGGGATGAGAGTTGGCTACCAGCAGGAGGGACTTCATGGTGTGGATGCATTCCTAGCTTCACCCAGGCTGCCTCACTGGTCAGCGACAAGCAGTTTGGCTTGCAGATCAAATCAGGTTCCCACTCTTGCCTTATTGCATTTTTCTTGGAACCCAAACTCTTCCAGCCACCAGTACAGAAACAGTTTGCTTTTCAAAATAAATAAAAACACACATGCATGTCAGTGGATCTCTGATAAAATAGGGTTAGGAAAAAATATAATAGCACCAGGCAGTGCTGCGGTGGTGTTGGGGTAGTGAGGCTTTCCTTCTACAAAGCAACCATTATGGCACTGATGGGGAGGGAAGCTGCTCAGTTCCAAGCCTCTTCTCACTGCCAGCAAAGTGCTTTGTGTAAACGTTTAAAAGGCTGGTTGCTGGAGGCTACCGGTAGCCACACAAGAAGAGAAAGAGTAGGAGGTTCTCCTCTGTGCAGCATTAAGTCCCTGTGCTTGTTTTACTGTAAAACAAGGAGGCTTGTTCCAGTAAAGGGGAGCCTTCTGCCTGTTAACTCCACCTTTGGTATCAGAGCCAAGTGGAAGAAAACAGCAGTGAAAAGGGGGGGGGGGGCAAGCAGCACAGAGAGAAGGACCCTTCTATCCCTGCTTTATAGGCCACGTTTTTCTTTCCTAAGCCATTCTGAAGAGCCCATAAGCACTGTTAAGAGAAAGAGGAGTTGGAGAGGAAATGTCCTTTCTGTATCCACCTGATGATTTCCCATCCCACCAAAATAGGATGGAACATGCATGCACGAAAAGGGGCACAAAGGTGTCTTTTGCAATTCCAGGTGTGGTAGATGTCAGAAAGGCCATGTTTTTGCAGTGCTAAGGAAAGGAGGTTTTGTAGCTACTTACATCTTTTTTCAAACCAGAATAAAGAACATGTTAAAGAAGATGGAATAGCTGCCCAATGCCTTTTGACTGATTGTGCATCCATCAGGAAGTAGCACACAAGGAAGGGCAGAGGCTTTGTTGTCTTCCTTTCTTTGTTTATTTCGGAACTATAGTAACACTGGGCTTTTCCCATTCTTTAGAAAACAACCACAAACCTTGATGACAAGAAATACTGCAGATGAAGAATCAAAGGCCCCATTGTAGAGGGTAATGATAGTGGAACGGTGTTTTCCAAAGAGGTTTCCAACCTGGAGAGACAAATAAAACCTCAAAAAACGAAATGGACTCATTTTCTGGAAATGACTCGGCTGTTCACAGAAAAAAGGGCCTAATTCTTATTCAAGCACATTTAATAAGTTCATAGGTTTGGCAAAACAATGGCAAACAGGTCAAAGGCAATCCACCCATCTTCATTTTATTCCCACCATCTGATGTTTTCCAGACAACATTCAATGTATTTGAACTTGGAAGTAAATGTCAAAATGACACCATTTCACCAGCTCAAATTTAACATATCACAGAAATGTAGACCATTCTGAAATCTGTTGCCACCCAAAGAAAGTACCATTTCATGGTTAGACGATTTCCTCCCCCGCACCCAAAACTGCTAAAAAAAAGGTGTTATCCTGTATACTATTTGCTCTCCCAGTCCCCCTCTTCAGTTAGATGCACAAGGGAAGAACATCAGACCTGCATGTTGGTGAGGATAAGGAGGATTCCGCCAATGGAAAGAAAGGACAGTGCTGGAAATAGCATCAGCGCAGTGGCTGCAAGGCGAAGAGGGACAAATCAGTGGAAGCTTGTCTGAACCACGGGCCCATTAAGCTCAGAGTACAAGACACAGCTAGACATCACAACACCTTAAACACCTTCTCTCTCTCTCTCTCTCTAACACACACAGCACAGCACAGCACTGAAAAGGTAGCTGAGCCAGTGCAAAAGAATGCACTGTGATTTTTCAGTTTATGCAGTGATGCAATTCAGCATGCTTTATCCAGTGTAACTTGTGTATACAAGCTGAAGGGATTGAGAAGTCAGCAATGGGAAGGATGAGCCCAATTATTTTGCTTTTTGGCCCTCTATGTGTATAGATTAATACAAAATACCAGCCAGAAACAAAGGTAAAGCAGGGCCCTACTACAAATCTGGATGCTGTTAAGATCCTATCTCATGTGGCCTTCCTTTTCTGATCTTTAAAAATGGTTAGGATTTAACATTATTACAGCAAACCTACATCCAGCTGAGAATTGGGCTAATAGGCATCCAGTAACATGTAGGAAGTGATTAAAAGTCTCCCAACCGAGATATATCATAATGCCATTTCTTGCTCCCTCTTGCAATCATTATAGACACAGAAACTCCGGCATGCATACCGTATCACACACATGTGGTTCACATACATCCCCCTTTCTCTTTTGTATCTATAAGCACACCTTCGTGCCAATTAAATTGACAATGCACTTTCCTAAGCTATAAAGCTCAGGTTCATACCCACTATGCATATACAGTGCCCCTATACAGACCTGTCCAAACATCTTAAGCTCCTCCACATAAATGTGAAGACAATGGTATTTATTAAATTCATATTAAGGTCATTCACATACTACGTATAAGATGCATCTAATGGTGTTTTCAGGCTGGGAGATGCATGCTACATAAATCAGGGGGTTTTCATCACACTTTGAATATTTTGAAGGATGGTGGCTGGCCTGGTTGGAAATAGACCACCAGCACTACTGGAGTCCAGCTCTTAACACATTATTTGCTAGCTAGAGCAACTTGCATTCAGCTTGGATGAGAAGTTACCAACAGGAGGACAAGGATCCTGCCCTCTTGATTTTCAGCGAGTGAGGAAGTTTCAGCAGTTTCTTATCATGCAACAGCACTTCTCCATTCCCTGCACCCCCTCTCTCAGGACCCACCAAACCTGCTTTGAAGATTTGGGGTTCACAGGTGCTGCAGGTGGAGAAGAAATCCATCCTGCCAGCAATTTTCTTTCCTCTAGCCAAACACCACCACTGGATTTAAGCCTAAGGGTACTTCCAGGGAAAGGTGTTCAGAGTGAGGCCTGCGTAACTATTCCATCTTTTCTTTCTCAGCAGATATTCTTTGCTTTTTTTAAGGGAATGGAGGCAAAGCAAAACAAAATGGAAGCTGGGGTGGGAAAACTGGGAGCACTACGACTGCAAGAGAATGATTTGCACACCTGCCTTGAGTGACATACGACCTGTTCTGGAGGGGGCAGCACATCCCCTAGAGCATGGGTCCTCAAACTACGGCCTGGGGGCCGGATCAGGCCCGCCGTGCCCATTTGGATCCACCGTGCGCATGCCTGCCACCACCCACCTCACCCCACGCACGGGGAGGCAGCGGTTTGCTCCCTCAGAGAAAGCGATCTCAGAGCGAGCAAGCCCCTGCCTCATGCACCTGCCTTGCGGTGCGTGCCCACCCGTGCCTCGCCTCCCCTCGCCACACGTGCCTGCCCACGCCTTGCCTCACCTTGCCTCGCCGTGCACCGCACCCCAGCCTGTGCACATCACCGGCACCGCCTTTCCAGCCCGTGCTCAGCACCAGCAGCTTTCAACTGGCCCCCTGGTGGAAAAGCTTGAGGGCCCCTACCCCAGAGGATCGGTTCCTAGTTTGGGGTTGCTCTGGGTTCAGTGCTGCTGCTGGACAGACAAGTAGCTTGGTGGTACAGAGCCCCTTTTATCAGCTTAGGGCACAATCTTGCCCGTGTTTAGCCAGAAAAAAGGCTGTTCTCAGTCTAAACTTGCACAGGACTGCGTCCTGAGGCTGATATAACAATTGTGACCCTACCTGGACAGAGATTGCTATAAGATAGTTATTTATAGGGTGATAAATTTCTCCTTGAATTATGGGGCCACCTTTGCAAATGGTCTGCAATCTTCTGCTTACATGGACTGGCAACAGCGTTTTATGAACTGCACTGTCTAACAGCAGTGTCGGCGCCGTAACTGCCAACCCTCCTCAGAATCTGACACTGTGTTTTTATTCTCTCAGACTATTTAGCCCTTCAGGTTTAAAAATGGGGTTAATGCATTTTTAGATCTTTGCATAGCTATTGTGATACGGAAATGTAAAAAATAAAATTAAAACTTGCTATCCTAGGAAAAAGACAGGCCACCACACAGAAGCAATGTTGACAGGTGTATCTTCCACAATAGTCTCAAATCCCGCACTACTATTTTTGCATATTTATTTATTAGATTTACATCCTGCCTTTTCTGTTAAAGAACTCAAAGCGACTTACATCATTCTCCTCCTGCTGCTCTCAAACTTACCCCCACAACTACAGCCCTGTGAGGTAGGTTGGGCTGAGGGTCTGGGACTGGCTCAAAGTCACCCAGTGGGCTCCCTGGCCAAGCAGGGACTAGAACCCAGGTTGCCTGAGTCCCAGGCCCCTGTTCTGTAGCACTGTGCTTCATCCAGGAGCACTCACCTGCTGAGGAAAATGCAATGAGGAGGGTACCCATCGTGTAGGATGATCTGGAAGACAAAGAAAGGGGCACTGGGCTACCAAATGGATAGTGGACTGTGGACACGTGGAAAAGCAGGTGATCTACCTTCTCCCTGCATCCCCCACTGGACACAGGGAGCTTTCCTCTGCCACGGGCAGTACAGGAGGAGAGCTGAATCAGTAAGAGGATGTTCGAAATTGGAGGATCAAATGAAAACAGAGGGAAGCTGCAGGGAAAGGATGAAGACAGGCATGCCCAGGAAAGGAATACATGGACAGGAAAAAAGATGGAGGCAGAGGACTAGTGGACAGAGTGAAATCATGAAAATACTGTGTTCAGTTCTAGTTGAGGAGGAGGAGGAGGAGGGTGTCTTCTTCCCTGGTTTCATTCAGTGCAGATGCTTAACTACATGCATGCTCAAAGTGTCTTCATATTATGTAGGTGTGCATGCCCATGCACGTGTGCATGTGTGCACACAGACACAAACCTGCACAGTTAAAGCAAATGTCATCACCTAGGAAGGTAACCTAATGACTGAAATGACAGTAGAGGAAGGGGAGACATAACCCTTTCTTCTGCTCCTGTGAGGCTGTGGAAAATTGGTCTTCTGAAGTGGCTGTTTGGACTGGGAAAAGAGTGCCCACTGGCACCATTCAGGGGATCTCTCAGAGTAGTGGAGAAGGGGAGAAATCATTAGGAATTTAAATCTCCTTTCCACCAGCACAGCTCAGCTATCTCTAGAAACAGCTGCAGAGAGTGGGCAAGGGAGCTGTGGAGTTTCCACCACACCTCAGCTGTTTCCCTACAGTTCAGATGCACAGCAAGGGTGGGAGGCTGCTAGGCTATGCAGTCCAGAAGCGGGGAGATCACAGAGGGAAGCCTTGGAGGAGGCTGGAGGGCCAGGGGAGGAAGACCTGCAGGCCCACGGACAGGAGGGCTCCCTACACCTGATATACAGGAACTCCAAAGCAGGTGCGGAGTCACCAACTGACCCCTCCATTCAACATCATCGAGTCCCAGAGAGTTCTCTGCATCACCCAAGTCAGCACATGCTTGGTTGTGCAGGTATAACAAGGGAGAGGGGTGCGATTGCCTCACAATGAGGCCATTAGCCAGGTGTGCAAGCCCTGGGGCTGGGTTTGCTGCCCCCCCTCCACTTTGGGTCTTGACATCTTTGCTAGCTCCAGCTCCAGGTTCCTGCTGCCTAATGCTTCAGGGCTATAAAAAGCTGTCTGGCCATCCCTGCTACTGCCAAGCTAACTCCTCCTCCTCGTGTATGTTGGCAGGAGTCCTGCAAAAGCAAAGGAAACTCTACACCTGCACTTCACAAGATAATTCCTTTTTCACCCATCATTGTTCTCTGAACCTCCTGTTTATAGGTAATACTAGCCTCTTTTGCAATCCAGATAAAACATAAATGCTCAAGTTTGGCAGGATACATCTGGGTGTGCGGAATGCAGGTAGCTTCCTTCAGAAAAGGTAGCTGAGTTTTGATTTATTTTCCCACCCTGTGGATGGAAGGGCCTCATGGGGAAGACTTGACTGGCAACCCTCCCTTGAAGACCTTGTTAGGGTCTTTGTGGTCATTGTGCAGTTTAAACCAGGGATAGGGAAACCTCTTTCTTTGCCCTCCACTTCTAGAATGCAGATCTCAGCAGCTTTCTATTGAAATCACGTATCCATCAGACACATCACAGCATTATAAACAGAGGTGACCACACATGACTTCTTTGAGCTTGGTCACATGGCATGTCAGATTTGGGAGGAAGGGGTGCCAGGGAACCCAGAACAGCCACCTTAGCATTGCCCTCTTGCACACTGCTGATCATGCCAAGCACATGAGCGGCATGACTTTGCCCAGTCCATTAATACACTCAAACAGATTAAGGAACTTAAAACTGCAGAGGCAGCAGATATCTGCTTCCTGTATTGTGAACACAGGAACCCTTGGACTTCCAGTCCTGTTGGCTGAGATGAGGATTGCATTGACTGGAAAACTCATTCATAGAATGAAGTGCTTGCCAGTACAGATCAGCAAGTCTACACTGAAGACCTTGGACCCAAACACCAGGCAGTGTAAATTGGCCCGTATTTCTAGTTGATCATAAACAAACTTCATAAACCAAAAACAGACTTAGATGCCCAGCTCCTGCAAACTGGCATCACACTGCTTTAGGCTCACTGACCTCCCTCTCCTTCTGGGCCTGCAGTCAAAGTATAGCCCTTGTTTAACCCTTAATAAAGTTGGCTAGTCCTACAGCTACGATACACAGAGGCAAAGGCATTGCACACAACCACCACGTCTTGTGGCAGCATGTCCATTCTGTGAAAAAATGCTTCCCTTTGTCTGTTCGGAATCATCTTGCCGACCAGCGTCATCAGTGACCCCTAATTTCTAGTATTAGGAAACAGCATGAAAAACATACCCCGTTTTATAAACTTGTGCATTGTCCTTGCTAAAGGTCTAATCCCAGGTACAGCTGCTTGCAGCGTGCTTGCTGGGAGCTTTACAACTCATTTCAAAGTGGCGTAGGATTGCACCCTTCGTTGCGTTTATCTTGAATTAAGGAGCTTTGAACTATGTAGCCTTCCCGCATTGAGGCTGCAACCCCCGATCAACTTGTTTCCTTGTTTCTGTGCATTTTCCAGCTCAGTTTCGGAGGTGAGGTGATTTGAACTATTCTAAGTGTGGCCACACCACAGGTTTGTATAATGACTTTACAATAGTGGCAGTTTTATTTTTTATCTCCTTGAATGCTTTATCAATAGTGTCTTTGAATGCTTTGGCTTCCACACAGCTAATATGACAGTATCTCCCACACTCCTTGTCACCTACTAACTCCTAAAAATCTCTGCCAATCTAAAATAACTTGTCAACTCTGCTACGCACCGCTCTGTTTTACTATTCTTGTTGCAAGATTTTAATGTATTTATTATTTTATATTGTATTTACATTGCTTTTCATAGTATTTTACTTTTTATATAAAATGCTTAGAAATCTTAGTATTTCATCTTATCCACCAGGTTTCAACACAACTGAAGAATCCGAATATGGCTGGCATTTCAGATTTTCTTTTGGGCACTGAAAAGAGAAGGTCTGTTTCTACACTTCTCAAAACCAAACTTAGAAATAAGTATAATTCTGAAGATTTGAGCAGCAGATCTTAACAAAGCACACTGCTAGAGTCAAAAGTGAAGTTTGCTATGAAGCCAAATGTAGCCAGGCTAAAATTTTAACAGTAAAAGATTTTTCTAGCTCGGTTGTCAGGAACTTTTCTCATTTGATGCCAAAAGTCTAACCATGCTGTATTTAGCACATGCCAGCAGCGATCATGCAGGCAGTTCTGACCAAAGCCCAATTGGAAATCAAAACTGAGAAATGAAAAACTGCAGCCACTCCAGTCCAAAAGGTCTTTCAAGGAAACAGACCGTTGGAGCCCTAAACATCTTTCTCTCCCCTGTTTTTGCACTCATCCCTTTCTATGCCTCCTTTTGCTGCCCCAACCCTACCTACTTTTAAGCTAGTACATTCACACATGCATATTCAAGGATATATATCAAATCAACTATCCTGGACACGGAAGCCCATGCTTTACGCACTGTGCAAAGGCCTCTGGCAGCAGGTTCTGCCCTACCTCCTGTGGGTGCAGGTCCCCCTGATGGGGCGGCAACCCGTGCATTAGACTATGTGAAGATTTGCATCGAGTCTGAAGAAACATCTCCGTACTCTGGGGCATATGGAGACAGGCTGGGTCTTCAAAGATAACATATTTATCATTTCAGCTGTCTGGCAACCCTGACAGGCTGGGGAGAAGAGATGGAAAGGATCAGAGTGCGGGTGGGGGAGAGGAAGGAGAGAGAAAGCAGAGAAAATAAATTCTGACTACCACTGTTCCCTTCTGCTCACCCATATGCTACGAGCACGGGCCTTCACCCGTCCCTTGCAGAGGGTAGCCGAGGCTGGTAGACACACTTGGCGAGAATGGACTGAATCATGTCAGGCTGCCAGCAGGCAATTGCAGTCTTGAATGTGTCCCCGTGTTGAGAACTCCCTGACAGGGCTGGGCACGACTAGAGCCTTCTCCCCAGTGTGGTATTTCATTATTCTCCCCACCACAAGCAGTGTGCTTTTACAAGGATAATCAACCAAAAGTGGAACACAGTCTGCATTGTTCCAGTCCATCCTGCCGCTGCGGTATTCAACCTCCTGCTGCCCAGGGGAATGCAATCCAAGAGCCCTCCAGGAGCATGCCACTAAAAGCCCCCTCCTGTCCATTCAGCCCCCGAATCAGGAGGCAGTCAATGAGCAAACTGCGGTGTTGGGCTGCCCATTCTTGCTCTGGAGCCCTTCAGCTGATGGAGAGCTGCATGCCAGGACAGAGTTCCACGGGTTCAGCTGTTGCCTCCCCTGCAAGTGCTGCAGTGATGGACGCATTTCTTCCTGCAGCATCACTCTTAAAGATACCAGAACCCTGTAAGATCCACTGCTGTCAATCTTTTTTTGATTCCACAGGGACAGGGAGCTTTGGGGCAGCAAAACAGTGAAAGTGTCACTTACATTGCAATCAGACGGGCTGCCAGCGTACCGAAGCGGTCGAATATGTAGCCCGTGGGGAAGGTCATGAAGTTGTTCATGAAGGACCCAATCGTAAAGATGAGGGAGAACTGTTCATCCTGGGCACTGCAGTCTACAAGGGAAGGGGGGATTTTGAGACATGTTATGCCATGTGGCTGCTATGCATACGTCCCCAAGCACATGCTTACTGCGTATAGCCCTCCACATCAATATAGCGGGTCTTCTATCCTCCATATTCCCTAACCCACCCCACCTCACACAAAAGCCCTAGCAGCAGTAATCAGTGCTCGCTTTCTAAAATGAGAGGAGCATGAGCTTAAACCACCCTGAAAGTTTCCCAAGTGAAAGCTTTTTACCTTTAATTCCAGCAGTGACAGTTATGGCTGCAGTTACTTAATCATGATTTTTAAAAAGTGCATTCTGCACATGCTCAGATGAGCTCTTCTGTTCTACAATTGAGCCCCGGCACAAGAAACCTGGCATGTCCCAATGGGGGTGGGGATGGGATGGGGCAGCTGGCATGATCAAACTATCTTAGCCTGATCCCAGCGCTGAGCCTTGGTACTAGAAAGCTTGAGTGCCCCAGTTGTGGAGAGGAGGAAGGCTGGGCTGATGGTTAAACTCTGTCAGACTGTTCCCACACTAGGAACAGGGAGATGGTCATTTGATCTGCGTTTTAGTATGGACTTTCCTAATGTGTACTTCTCAAACAAATATGCAAACTGACATGCAATTATACTTCAATATTGACAGTTTCCCCAAATGCTGTGATGCAGTTCTCCAATAAAAATTAAAAGGCCGACAAAAATGCATCATGGGGGGGAGTGTGCACAAAATGTATATATTGGTGAAAATAAGATACCAAAAAGCATTCTGCTAGGGAAAATAGTGTGCAAAAACATATACATTGGGAAATGTGCAAAAATAAATGTGCATATTAGGAGAAGTGCATTCAAATGTGGATAGATTCTCAGGTGGTTTAAAAAGAAACCCAGACTGATGTGGAACGGGATTAAATGAATTTAAACCAGGAAAGGAAGCAAAATTGAGTGAAACCAAAAGGGACAGATTTGTCCATCCGAAGACAAGAGCCTTCTGCCAGCCTTCCGCCCAGGAAAAAGAGGGGCCAACTTTCTCCACACAGAGAAACATTCCAGTGCTTTTCTTTGATCGTTTTTAGTCCATATTTATAAAAAGCAGCACTTGTGCTATTTATGAGCAACTACCCCTGCCTGTCATGCAACGAGAGATGCAGGAGCGCTTACTAAGGATTATACGCCCGCCCACCTGCCCCCTGAGATCTGTGGGAGAGGCCCTTCTCCGGGAACCCTCCGTGAAGGAAATTAGGAGGGTAGGTACTCGGAGGAGGGCCTTCTCTGTGGTGGCGCCCAATCTATGGAATGCGCTCCCCAGAGAGGTCCACCTGGCGCCGTCGTTATTTGTTTTTTGGTGCCAGGCGAAGACCTTTTTATTCAAACGTCATTTTAATTGCTAATATTATTTGCTTATTTTATTCTTTGGCCAGGGCGACTTATTTTATATTGTTAATTCGTTTTATATTTTTAGTGTATTATATTTTAATTGATGTTTTGTGAGCCGCCCCGAGGCTTCGGCGAATGGGGCGGCATAGAAATTTTCTAAATAGATAAATAAATAAATCTGCTGTGGGGAAGAGGCTCCAGCCTGCCACTCATTCAGTCCTCTTGATTCCCTTCTCCAAGCAGATCCACTGCCAGGAGGAGACTATCCTGTGACTGCAAGACATGTTTTTGGGAAAGGAACATAGTATTTCTTTAATGAAGCGCTGGAGAAAAGCCGTAATCTGAGGCATCGCGCTTAAGTTGTTCCTAGAAAATAGCCTGCACAGAACGGCTGTGCAGACACTCCAGTGAAAGTACCGATGGCTCTTTGTATTCAATGATTCAGTGGTGAGCAGAAAGGAGATCTCCAGGTGCTTTGGACTTCAGCTCCCAACATTCCTGACCATTGGCCACAATGACAGGGGTCCTGGGAGTTGAAGTCCAAGCATCTGAAGATTTGCCATCTGCCCACTACTGCAGTATTTCACAGAAACCCTCAAACTCACTCACCCCATCCTCTGTGCCAGGTCTGTACAACCTGTTACTTACCAAGCTAAACTGAGCCCACTAGCCATACACGGCTATCCACTGGTGGCCTGGTAAAGCACTCTGTTTTTTTGCTCACCTGCTCTGGAATGCAAAATCCAGGAAGGTCGTCAAGTATTTGGCAAAGGTGCAACACACAGCTGGCGAACTCCATCTGGCTTGGTGGGATTGTAACCTGTGCAAGTCCTGTCTTATGGCTGTTTCTGACTTACAAGCAGTCCAGTGTCAATAAACCCAGAGTGACTAAAAACTACTTTAACCCCCACTTCCATCTTCCCCGAACATACCTGAGTTCGTTTGATTTGCTGTTTGATTGGCAGCTGGCACACAGAGATCCTTAAAGTAGTTCAGATCCTTGAGGACAAAGACCAGGGATGCCCATCCAAAAATGACACCCGCAAAACACATGCACTCCACCAGACCTGAGAACAGTGTGGCCAAACGTTTGGCCAGCCCTGAGTTCTGGTGCTCCATGGTCTCCGGAGCGTTTCCCTGCTGATCCTGAAGCAATTCCCTTTTTGATCCTGCAGTAGAAGAGAAAATGTAGAATCAAAACAGATTCAGGCAGAGAAAATGTAGAATCAGATGTAGAATCTGTATCCTCTTGGAATTCACCTAAGGTGCACTGGATTCACTCTGCACTCCAGCAGTTCATGCACAAGATGATCAGTTTAAATAGAGGAAACCCTCATCCAGCACTGAAAGGACACATCTGCGGCATATGGTCCAAAGATAAGCAACCTGGTGCTCTCCAGATCTTTAGCACCACAATTGCCATTGTCTCCATCTGTCGGAATGACCAATGGTCAGGGAAGATGGGTACAGTCAAGCCCCTTTGCTCTCCCATACGTACACCCACCAAAGCACATCCTTCTCCCGCCAGTTTCTCATCCAGTTGAGGCTGCCTGGGCTTTGGGCAAAAGGGAGAGGCTGCCATGGCAGCTGACCAGCCAGGCACTTTGCAACCAAAGCCTGACTGGACAGCAGTCGGCTGCAGAGAGATACCGGAACGCATTGGCTGGGCAAAGGCCTTCCAAAGTCCTGCCTGAAGTGTCACAGTGGTATTTTACCAAGTCTCACAAGACTTTGCCACATCTCCATTGCCTTGCAGCACTCAGGCTTAAAGGGAAAACGTTCTGACTGCTGCCACTGGGAACTTTTTTCTAATCCTAAATGCCAGAAGAGGCAAAAGCACATAAGAAGGGTTACTGATGGAAAAGGAAGCGTTAATCTCCTCTTCCCTGAGCTATGGAGCACCCTGAAAGTCTCCCCACATGTAGCAATAACCTTAGCAAAAAGCTTTCTTCTCATCTCAAAGAAAACTCTCCGTCTGTCCGTCCATCCGTGTGTGTCCCCCTGTGTATCCGTGTGGGGGGAGGGGGAGGAGAGGGGGAGAGAGAGAGAGACTCCTTTTGGCAACTGTCATGCACAGGGGTCTGGCATATCATCTCCAGAGTAAGGGAAATTTCCCTTTTTCTGGCCAGGGTTGGGTTCCCTTGGAAGTATTCTGCCAGGGGATGCATCCAGGCAGTGGATAAGCTGCCCATTTCCTGTCCTTCCGCTGTGGCTCCCCTCCTTGCCCACTCAGCAGGCTGCCTGGGGAGGGCCAGATTGGTGTTGCCAGAGGTCTGAACCAATCTCCTGCAAAGAGGCATTTAAAAACTGAAATTAAGCCGTGGGTTGCCCAAGCCTTTCTATAACAGTACATGGTATTTTAGGGCTGCAGAGATTTTATTAGTCTTGTACCATATGAAGAAGGTACCTAATTTTGTCCTTTGTAATCCTGCTGTGAGACAAGTCAGAGTGAAAAATAGTGACTTGCTCAAAGCTACCCAAGTTACTTCAAGGGGGATTTGTACCAAAGTTTCCATTTTCTCATGCTAAGCTGCTGTTGCAACTACACTGCAACTGGATTGTAGCAACAAGCATGTTTATTTAATAAACTATGGCTTAGATCAAGAGGCATCTTGAATGACCAGAAAAGCTTTGTTACTTGTACAAAGCAGTCCTGCCAAGCCCTCCCCGCTGCTGCAGGCCCTGCAGTCCATCACACACCATTCCAGAGGATCTCTGGACCCCTCAGGAACGGCTTCAGAAGGAAAGCAACAGGGGACTGTCTAGGGAAAAGTGGCAGAAAAACCCCCATTAAGCAAGTGTCATTCCGCTTGTCTATTTGTGAATCCAATGCCTGACATTTAAACAAGAATCAATAATGATCCGTTTTCTTTGCAAAATGTGCCAAAGCTCCATCCAAAGGTATGGAGGTAAATTTTGAAGTATAGACCTCTTTCTGACAGTCCTGTAGCCACATCCACCCCCAACGAGTCCAAAATGCTGGCACAGGTGCTCATCCATATCAGCTCCACTATTGCAAAGCTAATGTGTCTTCATTGCCCATTCAAGGCTAAGCTACCCCAGAGCATTGTGTTACAATAGCAATACCATAATAACAACCTATTATCGCTGGGAAAATTCATCCCCTGCCTAGCTACTGCATGGACTGCAGCTAAGTTCAGCCGGAGCGGGAAGCTCTGAGGGGGATGTCAGATTACCTCAGCATCCATGTTATTTACGCCTGTGTCCCTGGCCCTGTTACACCACTGCTTCTATCTTAACGACATCTGTGGATTTTAATTTCTCACAGATTCCACCCCCCCCCAAAAAGTATGTTTTTAAAGAATGCATTTTCTACAATAAACATCTTAAAGATAGCATTTTCTACAATAAACAAAGTTGTGCACTGGCTCAGCCATGAATTGCTAAAGGCAAGCTATCATTCTCTGATCTTCAGTCCTATGTCAGCAAACTCTGGATAACCATACAGGCCTAACTTATAAAAAGCCATAAAAAGATGCCTGTGAAAAGCTTGAAATCCTCAAAATGCACTTGTTTACAATGCTGCTGCTGATACGGAATATGACCTCACACATATCTTTGCTAAATGTCACAGTGAAACAAAATCTGAAGTTATTCTAAAATGGTTCTTCATGCCTTTCCCCTCCACAGGAAGAACATGAAAACTGCATCTCACATGCCTCATGACCAACACACGCAGGAGCTTCCAATTTACAGATTAAGATGGTGGACAAGGGGAAGATTCAGCTGTGAGCAGGAGAGGAGAGGGGAGCCAGGGTGAGCCGGTGTGGTTACATGTGATAATTCATTACACAAATGATCATTGCGAAACAAGAATGCACCCTCTCAAACTCCCTCCAACATTCACAGATTCACATCCCGCCATCTGCTCAACTTAGATACCCAACTTTCTGTCAATCACCTATCCTCCTGCTTGACATGTGACTCTGCCACCAGTTGCCCCCTCGCTATCTATGCTTCTACCATCATCCTATCTTTCGCTGGCAAGCCCGTCACCATGGTATTTCTTCAGCACTATGTAATATGCACAGAGATAGCTTTTGCCTTCAGTGGTGGGTTGGATATGGATGGTCCTTGGTGTGTGTGTTGTGTGTAGGGGTATGTTGCATTGTATAACCTCCATAGCTGCAGCGTTGTCTGTGAATCATTAATCACACATTCTTTTAATAAAAGCCTGTTCCCTCTCAGCTGTGGGTGGTGGAAAATGTTAAAAATAATGCTCTGCATTGCTGGGGCCCGTTCATTCCAAAGCCCTTCCAACATGTTCCATTTCAATTAACTACCCAAGCTCAGCCTCAGTTACTGGTAAATAAATACCCTCAGCTCTCAGAAACTCTGAAGGACTTACCCATCCCTACCTGCATAGCTCTATATTGAGCTAGCATGTCAAGGCGACTTTGCTAAGTTGGAAAGGCACAGAACTGCAGCTGGATGGGTGACCACATGTGGAAGTGGAACACGGGGTTGGGCTTGATGGCCTTATGGACCCCTTCCTACTTCTATTCTATTCTATTCTATTCTATAAAACCCTGAGCAAACACTGGGACTGAACCAGGCTGAGTGCTGAGTGAAATGGGACTGGAGTGGGGAAGAAAAGGAGTACCAAAGCCAAACATACTCCTTCTAGGTAGCTGACCTTAATATAGGCTTTCTCAAATCAGAAGAGTACCATTCCAGCTAGGTAAAAATCCAGGGGAATACAGCATAAACAGTGCAGGAGGAAGCTAATAAGTGCAACCTTCCCTGTCCCATCCATTTCAAATGAAATCTCTTAAAATATGTCTGCCTCATCACCTTCTCTGATCCCATGAGTAGTTCAAATGGAAAGAGAGTCAATGTGGCATAGTGGTCAGAGTGTTAGACTGCAGATTTGGGAGCTCAAGATTCTAGTCCCTGCTCAGCCATGCAGGCCAGTGGGTAACTTTTGGGCCAGTCACAGACTCTCTGCCCAAGCTACCTCACAGGGTGGTTGTTGTGTGGATAAAATGTACAGGAGGGAGGGGATTACATAAGCTGCCTTGAGTTCCTTGAAAGGAAGCAGGCTATTAATTAATTAAAATGCCACAGTCCAGCAGTACGTCTATTAGGACAAAAAGCAATTTTGGTTTTTTTCCCACTAAACCAGCACAGCTACCTGTAGTCAATAGTAGTTTGCGATTCAGTCAGTTTACCCGCTTCTCCCTACTCCTTCTCAGTTGCTTCCTCCAGATTCTCACCAAATCCCCTTCTTCTCAGCACCACTGCATTAGCACCCTCTTCATTGTTTCTAGACATCCCTTGGTTAAATTATCCACTCCATCCATCAAGTCTTCCCTGAGGTTCCTTCATCTTTCCACCTCCTATACACAGATGCCTGATCAATCACGCCACACAGCTCTCTCTCCGCCTCATTTGTTCTCCATGATCCCACCACTGGCTAGGCTATTTGTGGTCTAGACAACAGGGGGAGAGGGGCAAAAGAGACGGCTGACCTACCTGTGGCTCTCAGTGCCAGCAGCAACGCGGTTCCTCCAAGCCACTGCTGGAGAGGACCTAGAAGGCGGATGGGCTCTTCAACACTGAGAGCTCTCCCAGGCAAAGACAGTGCAGCTCAGCAGAGCCATCAAAAGCAGGAAGCACACAATGGACCTGGACCACATCTAGCCTGGACTAGCTGTCAAACGGCAGAGAACACCCACAAAGCTTCTCCTCCCTTGGAGTGGGAAGGAAACAGATGTTGCAAGGGTAAAAACTCTGGTGTGGAAACTCATGCTAGTTCTTCCGTCAAGTAGACTTCGAACAAATGTAGCAAGCGCACTGGCAAAATTCACATTCATGCATATGCAACTGCTCCAGCTCTTTTCCCAGTCAGTTTCTACTAGGTCATTTTTTTTCCCTGCGGGTACACCAACATGCAAATATTTTATTTTGCTATAAGAACATGCCCTGGAATTGAAACACACTGCAGGATCTTTTAAATTAAATACATGTGTTGCATTTCGTAAGTGGTATTAGAACAAAACAGAAGAGTTGGAGGGGGCCTCTAAGGCCATCAAGTCCAAGCCCATGTTCCACTACCATATGCAGTCACCCATCCAGCTGCAGACCTGTACCTGTCCAGCTTAGCAAAGGTGACTCTACAGTCTAGCCCGATGTATAGCTATGGCAC